AAAATCATCCCTCTAGTTCTAATCTCATGGAAAACTTCATTAATGCCTTTCTTGACCATTTGGAATTGTATGGTAGGATACTTCTAACCATACTCCCTCAACCTCTTTTGTGTTTAAATTAGGTAATAAAACTTTTGCCTTTTATGTGTCCTCTCATTCTTTGGAATCTCTTTGGATAATTGATCTCAAAGCTTCCAACCACATGGTTGTTAAGTCAACTTTGTTCCAAAGGGTGAGATTAGTGGTTAACCCTACAATATAGCAGTACATTTACACTCAAATCATTTGCATTGCCATGATTTTGCATTAGTGCAAATTTATTTGCATTGCAACCAAACACAACTTTATGCATATTTGTAGTTGTGCTCTTGTCAAACTAAGCCTAAGGTCCATTTGGGAAAGTGCAAATACATAATGCCGTCATTTTCATGAACCTTACATATTTCTATTGAGATTGGCTTCTATCCGGGCAAGTCTGTGCCCACACTGTTCCTACTGCCTTTTTCACCATTGCATTGGGAATATCTCTCCAAGAAATAAAACACATAAGTAGGGAGATATTCTCAATGCAATGTTGTAAAGGCTGCTCGAATGGGGTTTGCACTGAACGAAGCCCAACTCATTTCTATTTGCACTCTTAGGAAACGGAGCTCTTGAAATAATTTCTCTGAAAAAAGGAAGTGGAAGACAACGAGGTGTGGAATTGAATTCCATTCCTTCTCTCCCGGGGAGAGGGATGTCAATGGCCTAAAACCACACCTACTCGATTACCCGAATAAGGAACTGACCGAAGGAAATGGAATTGAATTCCACACCCGACCCGACCCATCTCATACTCAACCAAGACTGTTCAAAAAGTTTCAATTCGTTATCGAGTTGGGTTTAACGCAGGCTAACCCCAGCCCAAATTTGACCCAAAACCCGATTAAAGCTTATCAATCTTAAATCTAGGGTTGGATCAAGAAGAATTCAAGATGGACTTATCACTTGTTCCAAATTTTCAATCATCCGGACCCATTGAATCCCTTACCATGCCTTTGTTTTAAAATCCAGAGTAGGTGGCTAGGCGTGCCCAAGAGCAAATCCGGAGAGATATATAAACAAACAAAGCCAGTTTATGCTTGTGAATGTGGAAGAGACAAAAACTTGTGCCAAAATCATGGTGTACATGTCATGGGCAATGATACCATAACCTAACAACAGCTACAACCGCCAACTGCTCCAACATTAAATAAGGGGAGTTATTTATGAAACAAAATAAAATAAGTAAGGGAAATGATTTGGCAAATCCTCTTCTTTTCTTTGATAAAAGGGTTGTACCAGGATTGGTGACATAGCTTAAGACCCCCTTAGGGCCAGACCTACGGGCTGATTGACTGATTAGCTTTTGGCGTTTATTTAATAAATGTTTTGTATGGTATTTATCTTGAAAAATATGAGAAAAAAATAATTCAAAAATGTTTTCTTTGATGTTTTTGATATTTTGGTGTCATTAGATGTTATTAATTGCCACATAAATGAAAAAAAAAAGCTGGGTATTGGAGAAAACATTAAAAAGAAGTTTTTTCCAATCAATAGCTAAGCTAGGAATTTTCTTTTGGAAAGGCCAAATTAAACAAGAAAATAGAATAGGGAGTAGAAGTAGGGTTTTGAGAAAATTGGGGTAGAAAGGTTTGAATCTATTACATATTTTTTTAAAGAAAAAATAAATACAAATTTAAGTTCTTTTTTTGTGGATGGGTGGGGGAGGAGGCAAGGACCCACTTTACTATGTTTTTTAACTCTGCCTCCACTTAAGTATTGTTCGGAAATGCGGTCATTTCGTGGATGATCCATTTTGATCCACGCCACAGGATGATTATTGTGGATGGGATTGGTCCATAATATATCGTGGATCAGCCCCGTCCACAACTCAATATCTCTTCCACATATATTTCTTGTGATTGAATTCAGTACCTAATGCTTGAGAATATAATATTGATAAGTAATATCACTCTTTACCCTACAATACTAATAATATCATAAAATAAAAAATAAAAAAAACCTAAGATTGCATTTGTTTAAGGTGTAGATGACAACTGAGGTAAACTTTACACCCCACCTCTTAAATCGATGTAAAATTTTATTCATATCAATATTTCGATCAAAAATCAATGGAAAGTTTACCTTCTTCTCCATCCAATGTTCTCCTCTTTGTAAGTACAAGCTTCTCTCCTCTCTATCCCGCAACGTCTCCTCCATCAAACAGCCAGAAGAACAAGCTTTGTCCTTCTTTGTCCTGCAACGTCTTCTCCATCCAACAACCAAAAGAACAAGCTTCGCTCCTCTATGTCCTGCAACGTCTCCCCCGTCCAACATCTCCTCTCTGTCCTGCAATGCTCCTCTCTATAAGAACAGGGTTCATTTCAATTGAAGAATCTTATAGATCTGTCTGTTTAAGTTGGTGACCTGAGTTCTAAGATATGGCAATTCCAAAATTTTCTAGATCTTAGTTTCTAGTTTTAATATCAAATCATAACAACTATAAAAGATTGCTTTTGATAATCCAAATTCGTGGTTAATTGTTCTGATTCTGGGAAAGGCACAATTAACTTTACTTCTTCCCCTATCTAACTGCTCTGTTCCGATTTGACTGTCGGCAAAGTAGCAGTTATCTGCGGGTACAAAGATGTCAGAAAGGGCTGTGCTGCCACCATTAAGCAAGTCGCTGCCTGTGTGATCGTTACGAGATAGACCCCATTTGCGCTCTTCAGGCTCTCAGGAAGGCATCTCAATGCTAATCCTTGAGTACGTCGTAGCCGAGGCTGAACCAGACGTTCTGTCGAATTGGCCGATGATCAGCCTCGAACCATTTAGGGTACCGAACCAGGTCCCATTCATGACTTGCATGAACCTCTTGCTCCCTTCAGGCACCACCCTCACAACCCCTTCTTCGATGTAGACCAGTTGTAGATTTCCCATTTTCTAGGCCAACCACCACTGCACTCCTAGCTCCTCCAGCCATGCTTCCCGATTTCATCCGCCTTCCATTGCCCACGCCGTGGTGTGTTTTGGCATTAGAGCCCGGTTAGATCAAGGAGAGGTTGAAGTTGATGTCAATCTTTGCAACCACCATCTCTGTTTGGTGTTAGGTTCCAAAGACCAGCACCATATTATCTTCTGAATCCAACTGGGTTCGACGGGAGAGTTAGAGTAGAATGAGCAGAAAACCTTTCACTTTTACACCGTAACAATCAAACGACAAGAGAGAAAAATTACAAGACACCTCATTCCATTTTCCATCGATCGCTAAACCGATTTTACATTTTTTATTGGTATAAAACTGAATTTACACCTAAAACAAACGCAACCTAAAGTTAAATATAATTCATTCTTTTAACCCTAACCTCAACCCAATCCAAAGTTAAACCAGTTAAAATATTTTTGAATCCTAACCTTAACTTAAACTTCAATCATACCCTACTCAAATCTGAGTTTTTAATTTTTTTTATGGGGTTTAAATCGAGGTATTCCATACCAAATTGTACTTCAAATTAGTATTTTCATGTGTTTGGATGGATGGAGTGTAAGTTTTACATTGAAAATCAATGTAAATTATATGCACGATTGAGTTTTGGAGGTACTACATCAATAAAATTGATTATCACACTTCAAAAATTTCGAAAAAATACGAATAGACCTAATACAGATTTCTGATTTTCATTGCAGAACTATAAACATTCAAAATGTCAACTAAAAAATTTCAATGTTCACTCATTTCAAATCAATCGGTGTAAACTCTATGGATGTATATAATAGTTTAACCAAAAACAAATGCAACAAGAACAGCTTATTCAGATAAACGGGAACGTTCTTTTGCAGGGACCTGCTAAACAAATTTTATTTCGTGGGCTCCTCTTGGTTCTTTCCTTGTTGGATGGTTGCAAAGCACCCAACCCTAAATATAAAGCACAATTCACACTGACCTCACAGTATGTTTGAACTGGTGACGGGATTTGCTTCTCACAAATGGGCGCTTCCTAGACACATCCATCGTGCATTAGGAACATCTCCCGTGAATATTGACTAATAAGTACGGAAGATATTCCCAATGCATAGTAGGATGTGCATGGGAGGCGCCAAGTATGAGGAGCAGATGCGATCTCCTTTCAACCGTGCATTGAAAACATCTCTCATGAATAAATATTTTCGAATACGAATAGCCACCGGAGTGAGATTAGTGTGAGGCACGCTTTGTGGGAAGCATATCCGAATTCATCTATGATCGTTAAATCCACATATTCATGTCGCCGTCGGTGCTGGAGAGCCACCAGCCCACGGCTACCGGAGCCGGCCCCAAAGCCAAATTACATTCTGAATCTCTGATGCTTCCTAGGAAATTCCCATTTCCACTGTCCTGTCCACAGAATTATCCGAACCGGTGGGTGGGTCAATAGACTCCAATACTGGATCACTGGATGACTCGATTATTTCATGAATATACGAATTAATTTTAATTTCAGTCACGAGTCACGAGAACAGATTCAGCAGAAAATAGGGCCGGGGCCCAATCTGCCCGGTTCAGCCAGACACGAACCCAACAGTTGAAACCGGGTCAGTCCTGGAGTTTGGACATGGACAAGGCCAGAAAGGGTCGGATCTCGATCTATGAAAACACGTGATTTTCACGTGGATCTGCATCCATGATTAATGAGCCATAATACGGTATCAAGGCTTTGTTTGGATGAGAAGTTAAAAGAATAAGTACAAGGACAGGACACCAAAGAAAAGGGGATTCTTCATCTTGACTGGGTGAGCAATACTTGAAGTCAATTTTGGTCTTCTTTCTTTGGCAGATAAGTCAGTTTTGGATTTGGTCTCAAAAAGCTTCATCAAGTAAAGAATTACTTTATAAAAGAAACCAGAAAATGAATCAAACAATAAGAGTTTAAATTTAGAGAGAGGGAGAGGGAGAGGGAGAGGGAGAGAGATTATGTGATTGGTGGAGGCCTCAAACCACAAAACAAGAATTAGGAGATATGAGCAAATGTTGCCTGGAAAGGTGGGTTGTTGTTCGTCATGGTCAAAACCTCAGCCAATATAAATTAGAGAACCAACGTTGGGAAATAAGCGAAAGATTAGTGAGAGAGAGAGAGGAGAGAGAGGAGAGAGAGGAAAAAAATGAGAGAACTCTAAAATAACTTTGTCTCTCTGAGCCCCACCTTTTTTGAGAATAAGGAAACAGTACTTTTTCTAATCTCGCCCATTTCCGACTCCAGATCTTCTGAACCCAGACGATAAGGCAACTAAAGTTTTCTCCGTCAAAAAATTCCAAATCCCACTCGCTCTCTTTCTTATCCATTTCCAATTTTCTGATATCCGATCAGAAGCTGTCACCATAACTCCAGATGGGATTTTCCAGCTAAGACCGCTGTTGAAATATCGTACACATGGGCTGTCAAAACCCGACAACCAGATTCAAGGTATGAATTATGATAGACCCACATCCTTCTAATTTCTCTGAACTTTACTAAAAAATTCGTGTGTTTTTTGGTCCCAGACTCATCTGCTATAACTTCTGCCCAGACCCATTTCTTTCTTCTTGCTCTTGGAGATCTATACATGTTAACGGTGTCTGGGTTCCGGGAAGGGTGTGTAGCTTCTGGGAATTGGCTTCTGAGCTTGGAACATCAGCAGAAACTGGAATTGAAACTGGGTTTGGTTCTGGTTTTGGATCTAGAACTGACGAATGTTTCAATTGTCGGATGGTTTGGATGAGACATGTGAAGTATGGTGTCATCTGGGTTATTGAAGTTCGTCTCACCCTGTTGGAAGCCTTCTCTCGAGGATGATGATGCAAGCGGACGAGCCAAGGGCTTGTTGTGGTATAAAAATTCAGGGCACCATGTTAATGGGGAATTCTCTATGGCGGTAATTCAAGCCAACAATTTGTTGGAAGATCAGAGCCAACTTGAATCGGGACCTTTGAGTTCAATTGATTCAGGCCCTCAAGGGACTTTTGTCGGAATTTACGATGGCCATGGCGGTCCTGAGACGTCTAGGTTCATAAACGACCGTCTGTTCAACAATCTCAAGAGTATGTTGTTCTTCAGCTAATTCAATGAAAATATATTACAGATTTCCTCCATTTGCATTCTCTGGTGATTGTTCTATCATGGCAATCGTGTCAAATTGCTCCATCCCCAGATTTTTTTTCTATCAGGGAATCTCTTGTTCTCGTTCTTTCTTGTTTTTGTTCAAATATTCTTTAATTCCTTGTATGCTTTAGTCAATATAGATAGCTAATAGCTAAAATTGCTGACTTGACAGCTATGTATGGTGCAGACTTTGCATCGGATAGTCGGAGTATATCAGCTGATGTTATCAGAAAAGCATTCTCGGCGACAGAAGAGGAATTCCTGTCTCTGGTGAAGAAGCAATGGCTGAACAAGCCACAGATTGCGTCAGTTGGGTCATGTTGTTTGGTGGGGATCATCTGTAGTGGAGTAGTGTTTATTGCAAATGCTGGAGATTCCAGGGCTGTGTTAGGGAGATCAGAGAAGTCCATCGGAGAGGTCACAGCCATTCAATTGTCTACAGAGCACAACGCCAGTTATCCGTCTGTGAGGGAAGAGCTGCGTTCAATGCATCCCGATGATACACAGATTGTGGTTCGAAAACACAATGTTTGGCGTGTCAAGGGTCTCATTCAGGTTTTTTTTTCTCTGCATTCCAGTTCTAGATGAGTATTAATTAATACCCAGAACTGAAAACTGCTGTTTAGGATTAATATCGTTGATGAATGAAGGAGCTCACTTCTTGGTGTTGCAGGTTTCTAGATCCATTGGTGATGCCTATCTTAAGAAGGCAGAGTTCAATAAAGAACCTCTGTTGGCTAGATTTAGACTGCCCAAGCCATTCTGCAAACCTATCCTGAGTGCTGAGCCATCAATACTGGAGCAGAAACTCTACCCAGAAGACCAGTTTCTCATATTTGCATCTGACGGTTTGTGGGAGCACCTCAGCAATCAGGAAGCTGTTGACATTGTCCACAATTATCCACGCAATGTAAGATTTCCATCCCCATTTCTCCATTGCTGTGTTTTCAGCTTTTGCCTTCCATTTGCAGGAAATTAGATGGTGACCTAGAAGGCTGTTGACATTGATTCATTTTTGCAAAATTGTGCAGGGAATTGCAAAAAGATTAATCAAAATTGCACTCCACGAAGCTGCAAAAAAGAGAGAGATGAGGTACTCAGACCTGAAAAAGATTGAACGAGGGGTGAGGAGACATTTTCATGATGATATCACAGTCATAGTACTGTTTCTAGACCACCATCTAATCAGTAGGAACTCCAGCCGTGGTCCACCTCTTTCGATTAAGGGAGCTGGGGGAGTCTAACTTCTACTCCTGGTCCAAGAGGTTCCAGACCAGATATAGGCCTAGCAAACCTCTGTCACCCTCATTTATATCAGAAAATAAGGGGAAAAGTGTTCTTATTTGAAGTTGAAGCTCCCCCAAACATTTCTTCATCAGACTCTTACAAAGAGAAGATGGAGTTGGGAATTGCCTTGGGAAGAAAAGTTGTGCTTTTTATTTGTAAAAGCTGCCTGACAAACTGGCAAACTTGAACCCAAAAAGAAAAAAAAAATTTCAATTCAACAACTCTAGTTTGGATAAAAGACTCAAACCCAGGAAATATGATGATCAGGATCAACACGTATCAAGAGACAAGGAGTGTTGTTTTGTGATTTGTGAAACCATGCCCTAATTGCACTAGAATATGGCTACTAAATGATAAAAACACAAGAGAGAGGCCCAATTTGTGTTGCAAAGTGAAAGATGCTTGTGCATTGCAAGATTGGCAGTTTTTTTATGCTGTACTTGTACTTTACTTGAACAGGGTTAATAACATGAAAGTAGGACTCCAACCATTGGCCTTAGGAACCCAAGATGTCATCAAGATGTCATGATCCTCGATGCTGTTATGGGACTTTATTAGCTCAAGAAATACACAAGTAAGCCTACTCAAATTGATACAGGTGAGGAAGAATTTAGCATGTAGGAAAGAATGGTGCAACTGAGACCAAGGGAGTTGCCCAAGTTTATCTTTGCTCCTTGAAGGATGAATTAAAAATAGAAAAAGAAAAAATTGTCTGTTTGGGAGGGCTTGGCTTATGGCGCTACATGAGTTAAAAAAAAAAAAAAAAAAAAACCTGAAAAATTATGAAGCCATGTTTGGTAAAAAAGTGAAAAGTCTGAAAATAAGTTTACATAAGCCAAAAATCAACTTTCCAGTTAAGCCATCTTAGGCTTAATCAATGCAACTCAATCAACACAGTACCCTCCTAAACGGGCCCTAAGCCTTAATAGAAATAAATCTTAAGGAAAATTGCTAGGGCTGGCTGGTTTTAGGCTTTTAACTTGTAGGCCATGTTTGGTTAGAAAATGAGAGAGAAACAGGAGTCTTTCCTCGATTTTTTGTATCTTTCCTTTTTTGTTTCTAAGGTCTATAGGCCCTCAGAAATTTTCATTTTTCTTAAAGCTCAATTTGGAAGGATTTCAAATACAAATATGTAGAATACAAAACCTTGTATTTTGTATATATTTACACAGTACATATTTATATTTGTACTCTTTCCAAACTGAGCCTAAATGGAACATCAATGAGAATGATCTTTGTATTCCAAACTAGCTTAATTAGTCTAACCATCAGTTAATAAAGCAGATGAGCTTCTTTACTCCTGCTTTTCACTATAAGAAAAAGATGTGACTAACAGCAGCCTCTCTATCTGCAAATTCGCATGTGGAAATTAGAACGTAGGTGGTTAATTCCATCTTAAACATGGTTTGATGGGTTCCTTCTTAGAAAATTAAATGCGGTCCGATAATTTAGTTTTAAGTAATTTCATAAACCCAATTCGAAGACCATACAAATATAAGATCCTTTTTACTAAGCTCCATTTGGCATATTTTTTTGCATGGTTTTTCGGCTGTTTACAAGTTAGGCAGATCGTAGTCTTTTTTCATTTGGTTCGTAATAGATTTAGTCGCCAAAAATCGGTGTACTGAAAAGATATGAGAAATTCATTTTGGGCTGATTTCGGAAAGCTCTAAATGAAGCTTTCCAGGTCTTTCTCTATTTATTCCATCCAAGTATTGACAAGTGAAAACTTCCCTCTGGGTGGTACTTGCCGGTTGCCACTTTAACCAAGCTACCACCATTTGGTTTGATCCAAGGGAAAGAACATGGGTTGGAAAAAGTTGTACTGTTAATAGATTCTATTTCTCTTTGGTATCTATATTCTAGGAAGTTGAACATAATATAATCAAGGGCAAATTTCTTAAAATACCCTATGATTTAGGAAATTTACAATTTGTATCCATGTGACACCACCTATAAAATATTTTTAAAACCCAATATTACACTTCATCTTTATTTTGTAAGTCGGACAGCTTAACATACGCACACTTTCCTTCGCTTTGTCCATCCATTACCATTTTTACCAGTACAAGACAATGGCTTTCTGCTTTCTGATCTGATCTTTTTCCCATACAGAGAGTTCAGGCACGAAACCCGTTTGGCAAAAACCAGACGAAACTCTAACTACTGTTGTTCCTCCGCATCTCCCCCCATTAGATGAACTTGTAGAACAAAGCTATAGAGAAAGGAGAATAAATCTTTTTTGTCCTTTTCCTCTTTGGCCATCTTTGTGTTTGCATTACTTCCATGTCTGTTTAATTTGCATTTTGGTCAGGAGTTAGGGTTTTTTGAGTGGAAAATGGGCAAAACCTTAAGGCTATATTTGGTTTTGAAGGAAAAGATAGAGAAAGGAAGGGAAAGGTAAGGAAACCTATACAAAGTTTGTGAAGTTTTCTCTACTTTTTCCTTCCTTTCCCTACTTTTTCCTTGAAACCAAACAGTGTAAAATTCTCTGATTTGGTCCTCCAACACGGTGGAGATGGGGGTAGATTTTATTGGAAAAGAAAGGAAGATGGGAAGGTCGAGGGAATCTCGTGTTGCCCAGCCAATCCGTTTGACTCTTCTCCTTAGGCTTCTTAACCTGCTTCTTGGCCACTGAAATTTCTGTTATTGGAATCTCATCACTTGCTGCTGCCTAAGTTATATCCTTGGCTCCCAAAGCCCTGACGCCTTTGAGTATTTGATAGATTATGATGCCTTTTGCATCTCCTAGTTCACACTGTCCATCACCGAAATACATAATACAGAACTTGTAATGGCGAAAGAACTTGAATCATACAAGCCGATTGGAAATAGGGAGAGGGTTCTTGACCTACAGTTTGATTTAGAGAAGGTTGTTAAGGAAAGTTGCAGTGTTAGTGGCACCAGAAATTGGACCAGATAAACAAACAGATCAAGCTAAATATTGGTGGTAAGCTATTTAAAACCAATGTTTCAATAATCCAAGCTGGTGGTCCCGATTCTACTCTTACAACACTTGCAGCTCGAGAGGCTGATGATTCAAACCCAATTTTTATAGATCAAGACATTGAAATCTTCTCAGCCCTTTCTGTTCTCTAGTCTAATTAGCTTCCTTCAACTACTTGTTGATTCTCCAAACAAGAACTTGCTTGGAGATTGTGCTTGTGGGAAGTTAAGGTTGAGCCGTAGATTTGTCAGCTTACTGCATTCTACACAGGAAAAGCTTCTGCAGATCTTAAATAAAATCCATTTAAAAGGAAAAAGAAAAATCTGGCAAATTGTGCCATTCAAATCAATCCAAATGGCAACCACTTAGCCTCAGCCCATTCAAATGGATTCCATTTAAAAGAAAAATGAAAAATCTGGCAAATTGTGCCATTCAAATCAGTTTACGCGGCAACCACTCAGCCCTGGCCCATTCAGATTGATTCTCTAATTTTCATCAGTTGGGTTTTGTTGCTTGAAAAACAACCGACTACACCCAAATTTGAAAATTTTCATCAGATGGATTTTATTTTAAAATTTTAAGAAATAATAAAAGGCAAACTCGACATTTCATTTTTCCCGTTAACATTTAGACTGTGTTTGGTTGCAGTGCAATTTTATTTGCATTAGTACAAATGCTTGAGAATGCAAAAATAATGTAAATTTTGATTTAATTTTGTTTTAGGTTTTTATTTTATTCTGTTTCAGGTTTTATTTTACTTCATGTGTATTGTAATTAAACAAAATAAGATAAATTTTAAAATAAAAGTAAAACATAATTTGCATTAAAATCATTTGACTATCTACCTTTGCATCAGTGCAAATAAATTTGCATTACAACCAAATACAGCCTTAGTCAAATGTCAGAAAACTTGGAAGTACTTTAAGACAATATATAAACAGTACGGGTAGAGTTGCAACTTCATCTTTTCATGTCCCGTTACAAATACATTTCTCAAATGCATCTCAAAAGAAGCAAAGCATCTCCATGCAACAAAACAGACCGTGCTGTGAACATTGTGGGAAGGCCTCTGAAAACAGGCAACGCTGCAACCTTCAGTCATCCGGGAGTATTCATTTACATGAGCAAAAAGTAAACATGAGCTAAGAAATCATCTGGGTTAAGCAGAAAATATTAGGAGGATAAGATCTGCCCAACGGCAAGGCTAAGATAATTAAGTAGTGGGATTATATAAAAGAAATAACAAAATAAAAATGGATGCTAGAGAGGAAAAAAGAACAAATAATCATTCAAGCAAAATTCCATTGCAAACTTGGGAACCAACTTACTGTTTAAGGAAGGCAATGATGTTCAGGTTCCTCCATGGGCCTTACCCGTAGTAACCGTCTTCGTGATATTAATAAACACAAAACCAGTATAAGCTTAACTATTATATATAATCACTTCTGTCCAACAAAAATGTCCCAACATTTGGAGCCTACCTGCTCAGTGTTGGCTGTTCCATTCATTTGCGATGGAGTACCAGATGGAGGTTCAGCAAACCTGAGAACACAAAAAGCATGTAGCTATAAAGCTTAAAGCATAATAACTCTTGCAAAATCATAAGAGGTTTGGATGATGCTAACCTGATTGCCCTGGCCTTCTTTTTATCTTCTTCCAAAGATTCTGTCTTGGAAACTGGTGCAAATCTGGCTAGACGAGCTTTCTTCTTTGCCTCCTCATCAGTGACGGACTGTGCTGGAAGGCCAAACCTGAGAAACAACATAAAGAGCTCAAAGTCTGTCTAGTACGACTATCAACAATCTGCGCATAAGACAGACGCCCGTTAGTGGTTAATAAATTCAACTTTTGGCAGTAATACAATTGAATGGTGAAGAAAGAAGACAATATAAAAACCTCTCTGCCCTCGCCTTTCTCTTCTGTTCCTCTGACTTCTTCAGTTCATCTGATCCAAGCAAGGTAGAACCCGTGCCAAACCTGCCAATTTCAGGATGTTCTTAAATTTATAGTTTCAGAAAAATCAACACTTGGGGGGTGTTTGCTAACATGTCTGATTTTGTTTTTCAAAACAAAAACTGCCACACAGCAAACTTGATAACAAAACCAGTCAATTCCCTATTCATATTATGCATTGCACAATATATTTTAGATTTTTAGTGCACCGAGATTTAAACTAACCAAAAATCTTGCCAGCTATAGGATTAGGAATTAGGAAAACTGGCTTTTCATAAATAACCAGTGATGGATAATATCTAAAGTCATCAAAGTGAAAGGAAGAACTCTGCCGATGTGAGCTTGTCTTACACTGCCAGTCCCAAGCCAGATAAAGGAGGGCTATATCAGATTGGCAGCTGGCATTTAAAACTTTCACCAAACTCTAATGATCATGGATCCTGAATCTTTTTTTTTTTTTTTGCCTGTATGAAGAAGTGATCAGTTGCAAGTTGAAGGGGCAAGAAGGGCTAGGGGTAGACCAAAAAGGACACGGGCTGAAGTGGTAAGAAATGATTTAAGCACTCATAATTTAACAATGGATATGACATCTAGCAGAAGAATGTGAAACAGGATTCAAGTAGCTGACCCCATATAGTTGGGATAAGGCTTGGGTGATGATGATAATGATGATGTTGATGATGATGATGGTCAAAGGAAAAGCAAGCATCTCTTCAGGGTGTGCAGTTGAACTGAGCCAACATCAAGGTTAGCAGTGCACTAAGCACCTGAATGGCCCCAAAAGAACCTGGGTACAAAACTAAACCAGTCTATTAGGCTTATAGCAGATAAGCAGAACCACAAAGAAGATAGAAAGAACAATTACTTCCTTTTCAAGTAAATAGTGAAGACTTAAAAGAAAACAGAAGGCACAAGAGTGTATACGAGAAAGTGCCAAAATTAGCCATATAGAGAATAGACAGAAGAACAGCACACTAACAATCTTTTCTATTTACCATTTTATAATAGCATTGGCAAAGCCCCTTAAATCAAGTTTGAGGCTAAGTGTTCACCCATTGCAACACGACAGAAGCTTAGATGATAAAAACCAATATGCCATATTGGATATAACTAAACCTAACTTGACCTCATTAATTTCCCACTACTGCAATCATCAAAATGCAACATTTCCTCAAGAAATTTGCATACTCCAAACTGACCAAAACTCACACCATCCCTCAGCATTCACCCTGAACGGCTGAACTTTATAAATGTGTATTTCTTCATGTCACACAAGTGTTTTGTATGGATCAAGGTTCTAGAAACTGGTAAGGAAACTTTCTAGCTGTCTACTCTGGGCCAATTGGGTTTGGCAACTCAAACTCAATCTGAGCAGAATATTGGGCAGTACTTCATAGCTTGAGGATTGCAAAATCCATAAATTTAAGACATTATGATCAAGGAGGACTCACACATGATCAAATTAAAAAGAGACTATTGGTTTATAGGGACATAGAAACACTTTTATGGAGATTAAAATGCTAGTTATGGAGAGAACAAGTTACAAATGAACACCATGGTCAGACGATAGCATTGCTGATGAACAGGCAAAACAAGGGGTTAACAGAAATAAGATGTAGTTTTTCTACAACCCACTAACCCACCACAGGGGAAGGAAAAAAAAAAAAAGATGAAGTGGATTTAATTCCCCAAGGGGGAACTTGTGTAGGAGGAAAAAATGGTGGCTGAGACAAGCTACCCAAAGAGGGATGCCTGACACATATATTGTCTTTCATCATTTTATACAGATATCAAGAAAATTATAAACTGTTACTAATCAGAGAAAAAAATGACCTTTCCAGTCTGGACTGAGCTAGGAGTGCAACTTGGGCTGCTCAGGTTGGGGATTTGTTAAAACCTGAACAGGCCCAGCCTGAGTGCCCAATGCTGTGTAAAACTCTTCAAGTTGGATTCCCAACTTTCACCCTTGAGCAATCACATCAAGCCAGATATGAAATCCTCAGCTTGCTTTCATAAGTTCTCTTTGCTAAAAGAATAGAAAAGTATATAGACCAAAATAAGAGGTTTGCAGGTCAACCATCAAATATCACCCTCAGCTTCAAGATTCATAACCATTCTTGGAGTGTTGAATTCTATTAGTGGCAACAAACAAATAAACAAATACATTGAACTTCATCCAAAACACCAATCAAAACAGAGCTCAGATTGCCAACCCCTTTAAAAGCATTTGAAACAGTTGACCCATAGAGGACCCAACATGTCCAACTCTAGAATATTCCAGATTCAAAAGCTTCATATGCCCAAAAATTCAAGTCTCGCTTCTCAGATCAGCTTTCAAATTAAGATAGCAAGACCAATTACCATCTCAACTAACAGCTCCCTGTCCACTCTCAATCCAATGCCAGCCACCTATGTCCCTTAGGAATCAGATAAACCACATGATCAGCCCACACCCATTTGTCTGTGGATTGAAATCCTAATGGAATTCATAATCAAACTTAACCTCAGAAGATGCACCCTCGAGATTCTTGTTTCTCATACTCTGGGCCATCCACTCCACTTCCTCCTGCCATCTTTCTTTATAGATTCTAGGGCATTTAATTAACCATGGACAGGAATACGAGCTATAAAAAAATAAGCACCCAGAGTTCACACCTTCAGAAGCTGAGTTCCTTATGGAATGGACTCTAGATAGATTCACAAAACCCCCATCCAGTGAGACCAAAACAGCTTTGGAATTTCTTCCGAGTTTTTGCTCCAAACTAGCAGCACATGATCTACGTTGTTGAAAGATAAGAACTGATTGTCTACATTGATAAAACTCCCACAAGCTTCACCAACTCACAACAAATGCCACTCAACTTAAGGGTGCAAGAAGAGCCAAAGATGGCAACCGTTCTACTTCAACTCACCTATGTTTGCCATTCCAAGATCCACTAGCAGGGTTCACATGCCCAAGATATTTTCTCCAGCCAGAATTCAAGATATAGTGTGCTTCAATTTTGGATTGGAATTAAAGAGAAAATGCCCAAACACCAATTGATTTTTTATAAATCAAAAATCCCAAAGACCAATCATTTTACACCAAGGAAGCCCAAATCTCTCCACCCATCAAGCCAGCACTAAACTTCATCTATCTCAAGTTCAGACTTCAGAGATCTTGAAGCTGCCCAATATCTCTCTATTCTTCATCCCCTCCAAAAGGTTTGTCCCTCTAGACCTTCAAGAAGCCTGTTACAGATCGGTTCACCATCATCACTTGCTCCTAAGAAACATTACCTCACCATCTTAGACATGTGGTTCATTATCCATCAAAAGCCATCAGATTGCACAAGTTTCAGTATGTAGTTTAACAGCCAAATGTCATTAATGTCCTATTTATCATCACCAAATAATATCTCTAAGCTCACTTCTAGAAATGCCATCCACTTCTTTTTCCTTTTTCCTTTTTCCTCATTTCTCCTCTTTCTTTCCTGTTCTTTCACTTTCAGTCCTCTCCATCTTCTTATCTCCCATACTGACAGCTCAAATGAGTACATTTTCTTTTCTTTTTCTTCAACTTATTTGAACTGTTTGGTTTTATGGAGCAAATCAAACATATGATGGGATGCTCAACTCATTAAATTGGACTCCAAAGACAGACACACAAGATGCATGATCCTGGCACATATTCATTATATAAAACATTCTACTAAGGCTTAAAAACTGAGGAAAAATGTGATGAATGGATGGTGAAGATAGTGCTGCTCTCTCTCTACATTGGCCATCTCCACACCGCTTACCCAACAGTGCCAAATTCTTCTTTTGGTCTTTCCTATATTACCTAATCCCAATCCTCCTTGTTCTTTACCTTTGAACACAGTTTTCCAATTTATCAAATGATCCCTCATACCTTCCCCCTCGGTTCCCACAAAAAATCCCTCATAGCCTTCTCTAATTTCACAGCCTCCCTTAGCGGCATCCTAAAAGCTAAAAGGTAGTAGACTGGCAAGTTTGCTAAGGAGGATTTTATCAAGGTTTTCCTACCTCCTAGAGAAATATGATTCCTTTTCCATGTTGCTATCCTCTTAGCACATCTTTCTACTATGGGTGCCCAAAACCTACTTTCTCAAGGGTTGTCTCCTAAAGGCATACCGAAGTATTTCATCAGCCACTCAAAGGAGGAGCAACCTACGGACTCAGCTACTACACTCGGTTCTTCCTCACTTAAATGTATTCCAACCACACAACTCTTTTCAAAATTTATCTTTAGCTTAGAAATCCCTTCAAACAACTCCACTACCCTTATCTTGCCTTGTGAGGGGCCTCTCCTTCACAAAAAAAAACTATTGTATCATCAGCAAATTGAAGGTGAGTAACTAAAATGTTATTCCTACCAATTCTCCAACCTCTAAAATGTTCCATACCATCTGCTTCCATCAATAGCCTACTAAAAGCGTTTGCCACCAAGGTAAAGAGAAATGGTGAAAGAAGGTCTCCCTGTCTTAAATCTTTGGTTGCTGGGAAGAAATCTTTAAACACCCCATTAACAATGATCGAATAATGGCAGGTTTATAGACAATCCTCAATCCATTCATAATATAAAGCTCTCTATTAGCAAGAAGAAACAAATACAACAAACCTGCAAATGGATCCCTTAATTGTGTATTGGCATACGAGTACTCCACTTTTAGAGTCAACCCCATTAAAATATCCATAATTTTGTCTTACTCATATCAACAATGAGTCAGACGTGCATTTTGATGCATTCAATTCAATGCAGAGATTATCAATTTACCATGGGCTAGGGTAGGTCAGGCTAGGCCAAGCTGGGCTTCTAGGCATCGTGTGTGTGTGTAATATTTTTATATATAAATATTTCCAGGACAGACTGAGCTGAGCTACGAATGATCATCTCTAGTCCAATGCAAGTTGACTTCCATCTACTAGTGAATAGGTTTTCAATGCAATAATAGTTCACTTTATGTTATTCACATTGATGAATCGGCAACAAGCATTGCAACATAATTACATGGATAAGATCAACTTGAATTTTTGTACAAATCTACAAATGTCATCCTAAGAAGACAAGGTAGTAAGCATCTTGGTTAATTCAAACATCTTCAATTCGAATCCCACAACCAGCACTTTGGGGGAAAAAGGGGTCAAGGGGGAAGTTATTAATGGTGCATGGCACCAGTGATTTAAAAGGCGCACCTCAGGCACGCCTAGGCGCACAGGCAATGTGCGTTTTAGGGTATGCGCCTCGCCTAGGTCCTAGGCGCAGCCCTTTCAAAAGGTGCACGCCTGGTGCGCCTGATGTGCCTTGCGCCTCAGCCCAGGCGTGTGCCTTCTAAATCGCATTACCCCCAATTTGGTAATGCTGTTCATTCATTCATCCTAATAAAATGTCTTCTTCAAAAGCAATTAAAACTATAAAATCATTATTTTGTGTGTAAAAACTAAGAAATTAAGACCTAACGTGGACTTGTTTGGGCTTGCCTCGAGGGGCGTGGCACAAAGACGGTTCGTAGAATCAGGAATGTAATATGTTTTACATCACATTAGCCTTGTGCCTCCGGCACAAATTGACCCTATGCCTTGTGCTTTTAAAACTTCATGGCACCGAATACCCCAAAAAATACTTCAAGATGAAAGCAAGGGCACATACAAGCATTGTTTTAAAAGGTAGAGGTGTCAAGCTACACACCAGAATCTTCCAATGTGCGAGATGTAATCGTAAGCCTCAATTCATGAAGCTTAAGACTCATAATCAAGGTTCAAAATATCGATACGCCTGATACGCCGGTATGGGCATATCGGGCGAATCGATACCCTTTTTTTTACGTTTATTTTATTTTTTTCGAAACAAGTTCAGGGGGGTCGGTTTAGGTCTCCTCCACACCCTGAACCGGTCAGACCCCTGATACACCTACTATAGGGGTGTATCGAAGGGGTCCCAGAACAATACATATCGGCCGATACGGGCCGATACGTGTCGATACTTTGAACCTTGCTCATAATATCTCATTCTTTCAAAGAAAAACATGTTTACATCAAGAAGTATAAAGCTATGAACAAAAGGACTACATTTCTACATGAATTGTCATCATAAAAAAGGATCATGAAGTGCTAAGAGTTGTAATAAAACCAAATGCATTCTTACAAATCCTTCAAGCCTGTTAGAAATCTCTTAACAAGTAAAAGGACCTCAGAATGTGTTGCAATAGGCTAGAGATTTAAACAAATTACCAAAAACACACATAGGAAACTAGAATTGGTCTTGCAACAAGAAACACGTATTCTCAAGACAAGCCATCTCGAGGTTGCCTTATACTGTTAGGCAATGAAACTCAAGGTTGGGCCTCGAACATTTTTCATAAGCCTCATCCTGAGGCAAGAAGCCTTATATGTCTTTTAAAACACTAGATTCAAGATAGACAAATGAATAGATTGATACATGTAAAATGGGGACAAATTATGATTAGATTCAAGTGAAAGCTCTAATGAGCAAGGTGAAAACCATGACTAGCAGCAATGAAGAGAGACTTAAACAATTATACCTCAGAAGATATGACCTTAAAGGGAATGGAAAGACAAAACAAGATTCACTAGACCAAACCCAAATATGTGGAGATGGTTAAGCTATTGATAAATGATAATGATGACATAAAAAAATGGCAATGAATATTTATTAGAATGACATAATGAATAAAAGGATATTAAAAGGAAGGAAACAGATCTTAATAGAGTTTGTTGCTATGAAAATGGCCCATTTGGTGCTACCAAAGAGGAGTTTAGGGGCATCACTAACTCACTACGGAAGTACTGATGGTGTAGTGATAGGCTGGGGCCAATGTTGCTTCTTCTTTATCTACAGAGACTCATCATCTCTAGGTTCCTCCCCATCAACAATCCATCAAAATCAACTTAGATTTCTGCTCATTGGGTTCCCCAGGGCTTTCAAGCATTGGAAGTGTACTTAAGAGTCAAGAGGAGGCTCTTCAGGTTTATTCTGGACCAGTGAGAAGACAAAATTTTATTTGGGAAAAACTGATATCACACTTGAGGGGACTACCTTTCATGAATGCTGTGAAGGCCAAGGGGATTTACAAGTAGTGGTAGCCTGGTAGGTTGGTTAAAAGACAGAAATGGTCCATGAGTGTATTGCCCTTGTATCAAAGAGACTAGATCAACAGCAACCAAAGGGATCATCTGAATCCATTTGATTAGCAAAACAACTAATGAACTAGCCAAATCTTTGGCCAGAAGTGGAGTAGGGGAATAGGTAGAAGTAAATTATATTGAGGCTCAGCACTATCAGCTGGAGAGTTCTTGGCATTTACAGAGTGTATGAGAAGGCCGTAATAAGTCAGCATCAAATTAAAGGGGTCGACTGTTGATGACAAGGACCTAATATTATCGAAATGTCAACTACGCAGCTGAAGTTCATACTAACAGCATGACTGACTAGTCAGTTGATACCTGATGCAGTTGCTTGGGACAAGCATTGACTAGATGACTAATAACTAGTTGACCTTGTCAACCCATTCAAGGCATAAAATAAAAAACAGTAAAAAGTCGGACGCCAATTGCAACCTAATTTAGGATACCAACGCTTCAAAGAACAATAAAACAAAAAACTTTCACTTCAGAAACTCAGATTTAATTCACCCTTTCACATTTTTTCCATTAAGAAATCCTTGTTCAATAGTAGATCAATATTTTTTTGTTTATTACCACTTTATTCATTAGACTCCATTAAGAAATCCCTGTTGAATATTAACTTTTCATTTCCTTCAATAGACTGTTATTCAGCATGTAGTTAAGTACTCAACTAGTTGATCAACTAGCCTCTGAATCTACTCTCCCAAACGTGTTGAAAACACGTGATGCCAACACTTTCCACCAGTAATCTTTTTCCATGTACCATCTCGACCGTGTGTCCTTTCTAGGCCATGCCCTACCCTAATACAGAAATGCGTTTGTGTAGTTCGAGCAAACTGGAACAGCTAATATTTCAATAATTTAAAGAAATGACTGGAAGAATAACCGTGCCGGATACCAATAACAAGAGTAAGAGTGACCACGGCGGTGATGCTCTATGAAATCTAATATGAGCATATGATCAACCAACAGAATAACAGAACAGCATAGTCATTAGCAAACAAATTATTCTCACCAAAAAACAAGTTGAAATGGTTTGGATATCTTTGGTTGGGGTGGGGAGAAGAAAAAAAAAAAAAAAAAACTCCAGCAAAATCACTCAGAGAACCCTATCACATACAGTAGAGAGCCACGAGTGGAAAAAAGGAAATAGACAAAGGAATGCACCTTTCAGCCCGGGAACTTCGTTTTTCTTCCTCCGATAACTGAACGGGCATCGCAAAACGCTCAGCACGGCGAATCTTCTTCTGAAGATCAGAAACTGGAGTGGAGGCAGCCATTGGGGAAAAAATTGGAGCTTCGGTGTTTTCTTTGGGCTCTTTTTCTTCGATTTTGGAAGCATCTGTTACTGGATGAGAAGGTCCAGATAAATAATCAGGAGGCTCGTCGAGACGTTCTGAGAGGGGCGGAGTCTTGTCAGGAAGTGTCTCTAGGGTTTGCTTAGGAAGTTCTTCTTTCTCCTGGGGTTTCGGCATCTCGGTCGTCGCCATTAAAGAACCCGGCGCTTGTGCTGGTGGTCGAAGCAGCGTGCTGCGTGCTGTCTTGCCTTGAGCTTCAACTTTTGATGTATGGAGTTTGGACTTTGGAGAGTGACAAGAAATTTTTGCTTTTGTTCTTCTTGGGCGCGCGCTGCTATTCCCATAACATAACCCCCCATCCCCATATATCTCAAAAACGATTCCGTTCCATATTTCCATGCTCTCGTATTCCCGCTTACATTGGTAGAAATGTTGACGCCTTCGTTGACGCACATCTACACCGTCCACACTGAAAGCAACGTGATCAGACGGTCAATATCGTGAAATAATGGTTTGCTTGTCTAGTCGTTACGGTCCCAAGTAAAAATCTCGTGAATACGTGGCATTATTTCGTAAGACCGTATTTGGTGTTAAGTGTCGGTTTGGAATGAGTAAAAATACAAATGCATATAAAATATAAGGTTTTATACTCTATAAATTTAAGAAATTTCATAATTTTAAGGACTTGTTTGGGAGGGCTAAAGCATTGGTTCGAGGCTTCAGGCTATGGAAAACATTTCCCAAACTTATTATTTATGGAAAATGTTCCTAACGCCTTTTGAGTGATGGGATCTGCTACTCACAAATGGGCGTCTCACATGTACATCCACCCTGCATTAAGAACATCTCTGATGAATAATAATAAAGTACGAGAGATATTTTCAATGTATGATAGAATGTGTATGAAGCGCCAGATGTGAGATGCAGATCCGGTCTCGCCTTTTGGAGGGCTTTCACACATCAGCTTCGTGGCGTTACATGAGCTGTGAAACGTTAAGCTAAAAAAACAAATAAAAAACGGAAAGTCGAAAATATGTTGTTAAAAATAGGATAAAAGACAAACTTCCCTTCATATTTCCCTTAAATACTAAAACCTCCCATTTGAGAGGGGATTAGGACCTCCCCTCTCAAGGTTAAATCTAACGGAATCATTAAAAAGTCTCGTATACCCTTTCTAATTCTTCAAATTTTCAAAATATTGGACTTGCAACAAGTCCATCCAAATCGAGTTCTAAGCTTAACTTCACAGTCTCATAATGCAAAGAAAACTAGGGGTAATTTGGCCACCTCAGCTAACCAAGTCAGTTCGAGTACCTCAGGCACTCTAGCCAAGACCGAGGTCCGAGCAACTTGTGATGGCCCGACCTGTCGAGGTGATACGTAGCCAATTTCTAGAAGCTAGTCAGTTGTCTCTAACCTTTTCGGGATCACGACGCACATCTACAAAGCCTCATCCTCATCCCGCCCCGAACGGACGGGCTTGATAAGGTTTATCAGCTCACACGAAGTCCATCTCCAGATGCAGAATGGACTCTTAGTAACACAGATCGGGGATCTCAGAGGTGTTTCATAAGACCTACGGCAGCTCGTGTATATAAGGGCTTCAACCCCAACACTACAAGCAAGGTTTTAAATTTCGCAACGTATCGGCCGATACGTATCATCGTTTTGGAAGAGTTCCGATACACGGAACATGTTTAATTTCCCTCTTCTTTTTAAATTTAAATTTAATTTATCTCTTCTCTCTCTCATTAATATCAATTTTAATTAAGTCTTAAAGTTTGGGACGTCACTAAATGCTCATTTAAGTTACCTTTGATTACAGCATTTAATAATGTCATCAAATATTATCTAAGTGAAATAATTTGTTAAAAATAGATAAACCAAATGTAACAAGTTTCAAACCCAAGTCATTTGCTTATAACAATAATTAATTAACCATTATGTCAACATTAATTACTTATTAGAAAGACATGTTTTTTTATACTTAAAATAATCTTTCTTGCCTTAGTGGATGTTTCATGACAAATGCTATAAATTTGATTATTAGTAATTATATAATAATAAGATGAATACAAGTTATATTGATTTATTAAAAATTAAGGTATATATTAACTTGTATACATAATAAATATTATCTAATTCTATATATAATAAATATTAACTAATAAATGATTTCAAAATAAATATTAGTATATATACAAACATTTTAGTTCTTTTATTATTTTTCAATGGTTACTAATTATATCCCGATACTTTATATAAATCATTAAAGAATGGTTTTTATGTTTAAATAAATTAGCTATACTCACATAAAACTCATTTTTATTATTGTTCATATTTTTAAGGATTTTTTTGGATTTTCTAGTGTATACACGCGTATCTTGATTTTTCGTCTGTATCTATATGTTTCCAAAGCGTATTTCGATAAGTCTCTTAAAATTACCTTTCCAATACACCTTGCGTTTCCGATACTTTGAACCTTGGCTACAAGGTACGTGAGATTATAACTCACTAGCTTTCTTGCTTATAAAGCTCTTCAGCTTACACACTACAATTACTTAGGCATCGGAGTGCCCACATCAGGTAAGCCACCCCGGGTTCTCTGATCTTGATCTTTTGCAATTCGACTGACCACCTAAGCAAACTGATGTCTGAATTTCCATCCAGCTAGAAACAACCATGCACCATCAACCACCATTGCATATTAAATTAGGTTTAGATCTGATCATGTGCAGATCGAACCTTATGACAAAGCTAAAACATGCAAACTAAAGTTGTATCAGGTTGGTTTTGAACCTGTATTGACCTGTAAATCAACATATGGCATCAAACAATGCCTTACATAGGTAGGTAGTCACCATTTTGAAAACTTCGTTTCATCTCGGACCCTTGGTCTATGCTTTTTTTCATTGCTTGTTGTAGACTATGAAGCAACATGTTAAAGGCTTAGAAGAGGAATAAAAACCCAGATTAAAAACTACACTCATCAAGTTCTTAAAAAGCCATCTATGAATCGTATTTTGATACGGAAATCTTGTTGATGAGCCTTTTAAGTGATTACTCTGTTGCCCTAAAGATGCAAGAACCGATAGCCATGTTGGGAACACCATTTCCAGGTCTGCAGACCTTACTTGAGAGTTTCCTCGTGTGAGAAACTTCCAAAGTGAGCGAGCTACCATTTCTTCCCCTTTCTTCTTTTATGGCATAAAACAACTACTTGATCATTTTTGAAAAACCTGGAAATCAAGCATAATTGGAGTACTCCCATATAGTTTTCTATCGTTAGTCATGGTCAAAGGAACGCGAAGGGGCAAATTTGGGTTTCTAAAAGTTTTTAACAACATGCTATCTTTTCTGATTTTTTAGGGTTCTAACATAACTCAGATTAGCTGAAGGCAATGGATGTTCAATGTGATGTGGAACCAAGGCTGTAATTTAATCGAGTTTTAATTAAATAGTTTGGGCTCAAGTTCAATTAGGTTATATTCGAGTTTGATTCTAATTGAATTAGTTATTTGAGCTCAAGCTTGATCAATAAAAAGTTTAGATCGAAAGCTCACAAATTTGGTTCAATTAATACATACATACATATATATACTACAAATTACAAAAATATATTATATAATATAAAATACATTCATTTTTTAGCTTTTGAGCTGAATCTGAGCTCATAGAATATTTAATCAAATTGGATTGAAACCAGAAAATATAATTTCAATCGAGTTCGAACTCAAATTCAAACCTAGTAGTATATATTTTAGTCGAATTGAGCCAAGACATGTCAAAATTGAGCTCCACTTGGCTCGATTGCACCCTTATGTGAAACCAATGATAATGTCCCACGCCATTGATAAAATGCATAAGACCCATTAAATGGTTGTGGGCCCATATATTTTATTACTTATATTGAGCATTGTCATTGTTTCCACAACGTGTTGAATAGTTACTGTTACTGCGTTCAACTATTTCTTATTTCTATCTTAACAAGGCATACCCTTGCAAATTTTAAAATTTTAAACAACTTCGTATTTCATGTAAGAAGGCATGGCCAATATGGTACAATGTGCTTGATACTCCCCAATGAGTTCACATCTCCGCCCCACAAGGGGCGGCCCCACAGCACATCCCCGCCGCGTTGTGGGGCGGAGATGTGATCTCATTCCCAATATGTGATAGAAGTTTTAAATTTTACCTTGGGCTCTCTATTTTTATCTTGTTTTACTATAAAAAGTAAAAACTAAACATAGCTTTAGTGACCTAAATTTGCCTAAGTAATCAGCTACTTGATTTTCTTTCCCTTAAAAACGTGATTAAAATAACTTCCAAATAGTAGAGTTGGCAATCGGGTTGAGTTCAAGTCAAAAAGATTTTTGGGTTGGATTGGCAAAGGCTAAACCCTAGTCTTAAATATTTAGGTTAAGGTTGACCCATGGGTCAATGGTTCAATCTTCAAGTCAATTGATCTTTGACCAAGTTTACAATTTCTTACAAGTAGTTTAACGTCGAATGGTCGAAGTCAAATGGCTTGAATGGTTTAATTGTTTGGATTGTTGATTTGAAAATAGAGGACCCAAGGGTGATTCCTGACCCGATTTGACTCAACATCTACTTCGAATCACAAGATAGGATACCTTAGGCGAGTTCAAATCAGCTCCCACAACATTCCACAACACATCCCCGCCGTGTATTGGGAACATCTCCTGATGATGACATCATCACTTCTGAGTTCCGATATTATCATTGGGAGATGTTCCCAAAACACGGCGGAGATGTGCTGTGGGACGTTGTAGGGGACAGTCTTGTGGGGGGCTGATTCAGTCTCACCTTAGGCTGTATTTTTATATTTTTTGATAGATGGGAGATGGGATCTGTTCCTCATAAAGTGTGCCTCACACCGACCTCACAAAACATTTCAGCTGTGCATGTGGATCATCTCCATAATTATATTGTAAATCTTTATTCATAGGAAAATATTCCAGATGCACAGCTGAACACATGCTGTGAGATCGGTGTGAGGTGCACTGTGAAGAGCAGATCCAAACTCGCTCAAAGGAGGTTACAAGAAGATGTATGGGGCTGGTTTATCTGTACAAGGTTTTGCCAATATATTTTGCTTTTGCTATATCAGAGTTTTACCTAAAATGATCCCTTTATTATGGGGCTGGTTTATCTGTACTACTTACATTTGATCATTCCTTATGCCTCAATTTGAAAAGAGTACAAATGCAAATATATACAGTGTAAATATATACAAAATATAAGATTTTGCACTCTACATATTTGCATTTATACTCCTTCCAAACTGAGCCTATATTGCACATTTGTTGAATCACAATTGGACACAAACTTCAGTACTGTGCTTTTGCCATTTATATGCACAGTAGCAATAATTTAATCTAAGGGAAACTCCATAAATTGTCTTCTCAGGTGTTTGGCAAATACTAAAACCTCTCCTTAGTTTTATCCTGATCCTTATTAAACATACTCTATTGAATGATCTCAGGAAAATAGGAGAAATATCAATATGGGGTTTTGAATGTTTGAAGCAAAAAATGCCATACTTGTGGGTGAATCATCTAATTTTTTATTTGGCCAAATTTATGACTTCATGGCAAATTAAAAAAAATATATATATTTGTGTTGAAACTCATCCTATGAATATGGTACCTGTAAAATTTAAACCCAATTAGAATTTAGGCCTTGTTCACTTTTCGGTAAGTTACTTACCAGGGTAAATGCAGTTACCTGTACCCGAGTAAGTACATTTACCCATGTTCCTTTATTTCTCATGTAAATAAGGCAATGACCATTTTAGCCATAAAAGTCTATTATTAAAAAGGACATTTTTATCCCATTCAAGTATTGGCAACTTTCCCCCTAGGTGGGAAAGTTATTTATTAACCTAGGAGATGGGTACCAAGAAAATAAACTTTCCCTGGTCACCATATAAATCTGAAAAAAGAACATGAGATTCTTAGAAGTTGACATACAATCCAAAGTTTAGCATCTATCTTAAAGAAATTTTAAAGGGATAGGATGATATGTGGCTAATAAGATTAGTTTTTGGAGTGATATAGTAGGAATGGGCATTCTGATCTCTTTGATGCCATGACCAAGCAGCCGAGATGGTCAAGACAAAACCCAAGTAAGGATTCAACAGGCTGTGAAACCAATAATAACTTTCCATGCTAATAATAAAACAAAATATATGAGACTCACAACTATTTAATTTTTCATTGTAGAGCCATGTATTTTATCATTAGCACGGGGTAGGGGTGTTAATTGGACTGGATTTGGTCCAATCCGATTCAGTCCAATATGAGTCCATTATAAATGGGTCAGGTCCAATCCAATCCAATGAATATTTTGAACCATTTTGGGCTAGTTTAATTCAATGTTTGAACCATCCAATCTGTTCAAAAACGTTTTGGTTTAGATTAGTTTCAACCCAAATCTAGTCCATGGACACTTATATTCTTATCTTATATCAATGAACTAGCTATTGGCTTAATCCAACCCAATCCAATAAATTTATTATGGACAGACCAGGTCCAACCCAATCTAATAAATATTTTAGACTGAATTGGTCCAATCCAATATATCTTATTGATTGATCCATCAAATCTATCCAAATTGATTTTAAACTGAACGAGGTCCAATCCAAAATAGGTCGTTTGACACCCTTAGCGTGAGACATTATTATCGTTCAAGTAATCCAAATTAATCAAACCCATGTTACTGCAGGTTCATGTAAGTGGACCTGCTCAGCTGCTCTGTCTCAATCCCTTTGATGCTCTATATCAGCCTATGGTGGAGTTAGGTGAAGGGATGTTTTATTTAAGCACTTATAAGAATTCTCAAGTGAGATTTAAAGTATCAATACACTCCATATCTTAAAAATAATATATGGAATGGAATTATTCGAAGCATTACTTTACCCTGATTCTTGATGTTTCTCTGTCAAATTATTCCAAAAAGGACCTCAGAGAAGAATATTATGCTTTGGAAATGCGATTTTTTTCCCAATTTCTCGGGATTTCAGCTCAAAAAACCAATACCAATCAGTATCGATACTTTGTTCCTTGCTTACATGTCATGTCAATTAGGCTATCTCGATTCTCAAGCTGTGATGGTGGCTGCAACCCACAGATTAAACATTAAAAGGTGGTCCAGTGGGCTCTGTTCAACCATCGGATCTGATCAAGTTTTTAACTACGTAAGAATAAGACGGGTCGACTGTAACTGTAAGAAGTGTTCAACAAGAGACCGAGACCTGCTCTTCGCACATGGCGCTTCACACCGATTTTACACGTACATTCTATCATGCATTGGGAACATCTCCCGTAATTATGAATTATTATTCACGGGAGATGTTTCCAATGCATGATGAGTGTGCCTGTGAGGCACCCTGTGTGAGGAGTAGATTCCGTTCCATTCACAAGACTGGTCCAGTGGGCAAATTCACATTTCACTGAGAACAACCCACAAGTGCTCCCATGGCATATCCCAACTGTGTATTGAGAACGTAACATAAGTGCCACTATTTGGTTGAGATGCGCTGTGGAGCGCAGATGTAAATTCTCCAGTGGACCCAGTCTTCAACAAATTCTTACCAACTACGGTTGGGGTGCTGTCGGCTACATATTTGTATTTATAGACCTTTCAAACCGAGCCTATGTTATTTGAACAGTAGAGTTGGTTAAATGAGGTTTTAATCTTCCATAAAACAGCATTTTTGTAGGGCAAAATGAAGAGAAATTAAGGGGGCGTTCTTTCCTCAGATTTTGAGAAAGGAGAAAGTTGATTAATGAGAAAGTTTTCATTGACCAAGAATCTCATGTTCTGTTTTTATATTTAATAATGGAGTTTCATAACTAAAATGGTCATTGCCTTATTTACATGAAAAATAAAAGAATATAGATAAATACACTTAACTGAGTAAGTATTTCCCAGGAAAAACTTACCCAAATAACTGCATTTACCTGAATAAATAACTTACCAAAAAGCGAATGGGTTAAAAAGGTAACATGCCCAACAAGGCATATATCCCCCCTTGGATGTTGTTGGTTCTACACTACTCCATCAGACACCATCAAAGCCATTTGTTGGTATGCCCAATAATGCATATCCCATGAAACCATGGGTCTTGTTGGTTCTTTGTTCTATCAGACCCCAACAAACCCATTTGTTGGTCTCTGAAAGGGAATATGCCTAATGCATATCCCCATGAAGCCTTGTTTGTCGGTTGTTCTACACTCCATCAGGCACCATCAATCAAACCCACTTGTTCTACTCCAACACCACCATCAGTGGTCCACAATCCACTTTAACTTGGGGACTTCTCCCTAAAACTAAAAAGGAGCCAAAGCCAAATGCATCTCTTTGTATACCGGACCTCAAAGCCAAACTTTGGCATTTGTATAGACAGTAATCAGTATGGACTGTACTTGATGAAGGTAGGTGGCGTCCAGTCTAGGTTCAGCCACCATTCACAAACACTCATCTCTAAACAAACATTAACATCTAATATAGTGAAAACAAATGGGCGTACTCGCATGATATTTCCCATCAACAACAATTCAAGTACTGAATCTTTACTACAAAAAGAAGTTTGGTTAAAGTTAAATGCCACACTCCAGTAGTAAAAAGTAAAAAACAGGGTGAATCTCAACCATTAGACCATCCATCTGATTCTACAAGGCTGAAGGCCCTGGTATTTGTATCCCTCCATCCATAATTCATTACTGATGATGACAAAGTTGTTGGTATCAGCTCTTCCAGAATTAATGTGAAAAAAAATGCCACATCAATCCCTCTTCTCATCTTGAATCACATCCTTTTGTCATTGTAGAAAATAGATAATCCTCTAAGGCTTTGAAGAGTAACAGAAATGAAGGTCTGAAGCTGCATCCGAACGTGATATATTTGCACCTTTAACAGCAAATTGGTGTCCTTTTTTTTGTTTCCCTCCACTGGGTTGGCAAAGCTTTACTTGTTTCCAATTGAACCTAGGCCCATTTACATTGGAGACTTCTGTTTCAGTATGGGGAAGGAAGCCTCACTCTTTCTAGTTGATGGAGCTCATCTCCGTAGCCAGTCAAGATTGATATTTCTGTTGGATAAAGTTAAGTTAGCTATACAGTTAGAGTTATCAATGCCACCTACCCACCTAGAAATGTTAAAATAACTGATACATGAATGCAAGGAGAAAAACGCAGGATATTGATATAGCCTTCTTTAGTGCCAAAGTTATAGTCATTGCCAAAAATCTCCTCTCTTTTTTTGACTTCTCTCCAACAAGTGATTTGGAGAGAGTAAATGGTAAAGAAGTCTAAGGCTAAATGAAGAATAGATCACATACCTTCAGGTGGGGTAATCACAGACAGTAATCTGCAGCTGCGACTGATCCTGATCAGCCATATATTGCCTGATAAAAGCTCTTCTCCACCAGACTTCAAATGCTCTCTGCATATTGGGGCAATCATCTCCTTTGCTTAAAAATCGGTCAAACCAATTCAATAAGATGGCCTGCTGCTGTGCCATTGGCAATGTGAGGATTGTCTGACTCAGTCCATCCTCCACCAATTTCTTATCAACAGACCTGCAAGCCCTCCTCATCCATCCAAAATCTTCATAGAGAGCTTCTAACCATGTTGACAACAGAGAAAATCTTGCTTCTTTTGATACCAATATTTGTCCCCTCCCCACCGCAATGCAGAGTTGGGCAGTTATCCTGCTGATCTCATACCGGAACATGGAAGGAATCTTCGAGTGGAGGATAGCAAGCTCCTTCTGATCTGCCCACAAGTTTACAAACTCGTCACCCATCTTTTTGTCAATCAGAATTTCGACAATCCACTGCATATTGTCAGCTTCTCTAGCTATCTCAGCCATTAGGACACCCCGATCCCGCCTGCTCTCATCCAAGCTTGCTGCCTCAGATAAGCAAAGGATAAGAGAACTGAGACATCTGTGGCAAAGATGGTAAAGAGTTTCCTTGGAGACATCAAGTCGGTCAACGTTATGACCAAGGTGGTTTGTGTTTTCTCTGAGCAATCCAGATATCAAAGTTTTCATTTCTCGCCTGGCTTTATCATCCTTAGCTTGTAGAACCCCTGTCAGCAGTCGCAAGAAGATATCATCAGCTCTAGCAGAAGTAGATGGATCTACTGAAATTCGCTTCAGCACATCTGGTACCGAATTATGAAGTTGAAGTTGACCGAGATGAGAGATGACCTTCTCTTCTTCATCCTCGGACCAGGGAACTCCATCCAAATATTCCAGGCATGACGCTATACCAGCATCAAACATGATAGCTGCAGATACCTGCAATACAATGTTCACTGTGTAATGATGCAGTTGTAACAGAGAAAAAAAAAAGAAAAGAACATGACTTCTTATTTTCATCATTCAGTAAGATATTCACCATCAAGCTTCTCTTAAGGATCTCTGGGTTCACAACTTTACAGGACTAAAACTACTATTATGGTTTTATTTCAGACTTTATTGGTAATAACAATTCTTTTACTAGTTGTTCGGGTCAGATTACCTCCAGAGGAGAGATAACTTCAGTTGAGCTCCAAAAATTAGTCATAGTAACCCTAGTCATCAATTACTTTCAGAACAAAAGTGGGAAATTCCTTTACAGAAGAACGAAAAATCTAAATACGAGAATTTAACAAGTAAAAACAAATAGTTGGAAACCACCTCCATTACAGGGAAAAAAGAAGTAATATCACCAAAACAATGAAATATGATCTTTCTATGGTCCAAGAAAGTTAGAAGAACAACAGGAAAAAAAGAAGTTGCAAGAGAGAAGAAAAGAGACATACTTTCAGCAACCCCAACACCTTCCCCACATCCTCCTTCATCAATCTCTTCTTCAAATCCTCGGAATACATCAAGACCACAGTCTCAACATAAACTTCGACATCATCACAATCGCATATCTCTACCGAATGAGTAATCGCCCCATCTGGCCTCAGCTTCTCCGCAAAGAACCGGCTCCGATCGGCGAGGACACTCCGATGGACATTCATCGAAACCCTAAACCCATCTCTTGAAGTAACCGTGAGCTTAACATCTCCAGCACTCCCCCAATTGGGGTTCTGAAATGGCGCTTCAGCCAAGATCCTCGAAATCCTTTCCTGCAACTTATGACGCTTGTCCTCGGAACGCTTGGCTTCTCGCTGTTGCTCTTCGGACATCATTTCGAAGAGGGTCGGGCTAGACCGCATCTTGTCGGAGAATGCAGGGGGAGGACTACTCTTGGAGGGAGAAGAAGACGGAGAAACCCTAGATATCATCCTTGAAGGAGAAAAACAGAGAGTTGGGTCGGATATGAAACCTTGTTTTATCATTGCTGATACCTCTCGGGATTTTAATACATTGTCGGCCGCCATTAGAGCTCTGAGATCAGAGCTCAAAAAGAGGACATATAGAGAGTGGGAGAGGGGTACTGTGTGTGGTGAGCTGTATGGGGAGTGAATGAAGAAGAAGAAACAAACGGAATCAGATGAATTGTTTCTGCTTTTGATCTGTAATAAAAACATTAGTCTAATAACAGACGCATCAGAAATCAGAAAACCATAAAAACGACTGTTTTAAATGAAGGAATAGGAGGAATTATTGTTTGAACACTCGTTCTCAACGTGGGTGATCAATGCTGATACATCTTGATCATCTGGTGGTGTGGGGCCACCCAAATGGACGGATGGTGATGAATGTGTACGTCTCTGTCTTCTGACGCCGTATGGTGCGGAGTACTTCACAGAACATCATTCCAATCATTTATGATATAACCAACCATCTTCTCTCTTGTTCTTGGAATCTTGGCTCCACGAAATTGAATTTCTTCCCCTTTTTTTTTTCTTATTTTCCCGTTTGATAAATTGCTGAAAGCCTGAAACCTTCCCTATATTTTGCGGTTCATTACCTTACTATATACTAATAGCAACTGGCGGGGACCGTGTGATGCAGGGGATTTGTGAAGGAATAGTGAAACAATGGAAACTGATAATTATATTTATAATTTTAATAATTTGTTATAAAAATAATTTAATAATTTAGATTAAATATATTAATAATTTTTAATAAAAATAATATCCATCCTTAGTTGGGATGGGGATTGACATTCAAGTCCTTTTAATTGGTTAATTGTAAAACCTAATAAATAAAATTTAATTTAGCAAATTTTTATCGAGCAACTAATTAATAAAAATTAGTAATTCATAAAATAATAATAAAAAGTAAAAAATATATTAAAAATAATAAAATAAACCACTTGTAGTTCATTTAAAATTTATAAAATTAATTAAAATATTAAAATAATAAAGACTTGATTATAAATGTCTTAAAACTCCTACTTAGGGATGATTATTTATAACTTAGCCTAAACCTGGCTAAACCAACAAATTTTTGGGCTCAAGCAACTATTTTTTTCTGAGCTAGGTCTAGCTCAGATCTACACCAACCTCATACAATGTAGATAGTAGGATTGTAAATGGTTTGAATTCAGATTTGAACCAATTGTATCCACATCCATATTCGATTATGAAATCTAGATCCACATTTTGCATATGATTATTATGTTGGGTTTTGGACCATCTTTGCATTTAATCTACAACCATTTTATTGTGTTTAAAATGACAAAAAAAGTTTTAAAAAATCAATTATTTTTAAAGCATATATGTATAATAAATATATATAAATATAAAATATTAAATTTATCAATTATAAACTTTATATAGTTATACATTATATATATGTATACATAATTATTGGATTCTAATTGATATTGGTTGGTTTGTTTGGAATTGGAATTGGAATCAATAATGAATATTTTACATTAATGTTTTATTTTTAATTATTAATATTAACTTTTTTATTTTATTATTTATTTATTACTTAGTTAGGAGTAATATTATTATAATTATTATTTTTCCTACTCCAAAATATATTGTATTAATATTTTATTTATACATTATTATTATTATTATATTTAATAATTAATATCACTATTTTCTATTATTATTTTGGTAATATTTTATTATAGTACTATTATTTTATTATTGTCTTATAATTAATTTAATAATATTTTATTACTTTATTAATATTAGGGTTTTGGGGGGTTTTGCATCATTAGTTCTTTAGTCCTTAAGGGGGGGCCTAAAATACCCAAACGTCCTTACATCATCCCCTGTCTCTCTTTAATAATATAAATGATATCTCTTTCTTTCTCATTAACTCTCTTTTAATTGTCTCTCTTTTGTAAGATTAATGATATACAATTTTGTTAGTGACAATAATTATTATTTTATATTTTAAAACAAAAGAAAATAAGAAAAATACAAAAAATAGATAAATACCTATGCTGATTTTGTAAATACAAATATAATTATTATTTTATATTTTTAATAAATGGTTATTTTATTTTTTATACTTTTTATTTATTATTATTAATTCTAATTATCCTATTAATAATAATTATACTAACTCTTATAAATGGTCATCCCTAAGTACAAATTAATACTAATTTTTATTAATTTCTTAACTTTTAATAGTTGCTAGATAAAATCATTTATGATATAACCAACCATCTTCTCTCTTGTTCTTGGAATCTTGGATCCACGAAATTGAATTTCTTCCCTTTTTTTTTCTTATTTTCCCGTTTTCTTTCAAAATTTTTTTACATCAAATTAAAACTTAAAATGTTAAGGCTATGTTTGGTTTGAAGGAAAATGTAGGGAAAAGAAGGAAAAGACAAAGACACCTATACAAGATTTGTAAAGGTTTCCCTACCTTTCCCTACCTTTTCATTCAAACCAAACACAGCCTAAGGATAAATTGCTGAAACCTTCTCTATATTTTGCGGTTCAGTACCTTACTATATACTAATAGCAATGTTAAATTGTTGCATCTACACTCCCTCCATTAATTCAATGTTAGAATGTTAATCGAAATTGGTGATGTCATTGTTTCAACATTTTTAAATATCATATTGCCTTTAGATGGAAACATGTGGTTTTATACTAACCAGAATACTCTAGAACGAATCATTTATATCTTGCTTAAATGGTAGGTTAGAACTTAGAGCCCACCCACCTCAACTTAATCACTTTGATTTGTATACCCACCACACTCAATGTTTTTTCTTAAAACACAAAAAACTGATAAAAATTTTAAAAAAATTATATATATATATATATATATATATAAAGAAATCCAAAATAAAAAAAACATAAAAAATTATATATTTTCTCAAAAATATATTTCAACTAAAAAATCAGAATTGAAGATGCAACATAATGGGCAAGTTTAGAAGCCACTTTACCATTCAAATCGCCAAAGTTGGATATTTTGATAGTTTTGTCAATTTCTGTAAGCTCAAAATAATGGCGAGGGGGTTGAGTCCGACATTTTGCCCAAATTTAAAAGCTAATCTTTGAGTCCGACTATCATATTAGTTAATTCATAATCAATCAACCAGTATCAAAAAATCAATTAACCAATTAGTAGGAGTGGCCACGAGCCGAGCTTCTCACAAGCTATTTGAGCTCGGCTCGGCTTGGTTTAAACCGAGGTTTGAGCCGAGCTCGAGCTTAATATATAGGCTCGTTTGCTAATTGAGCCAAGCTCGAGCCCAATGAAGTTTGGCTCATGAGGCTTGCGAGCCTAGTATAATAAATAAATAATTTATTATTATATACATACATATATATACATATTACATATAAATATATAATAAATAATTTTTATAATTTAAAATTTTTATGTAAAATAAAAAATATTTTTATATGTATACCTTTTTTATTTTTTATAAAAAAAATTGGCTTGTAGTCGAGCTCGAGCCGAGCCGAGCCGAGCTCGAACTTGCGAGCTTTGAACCAAGTCGAGCTCAAGCTCAAATCTCTAGCTCGAATCGAGTTCGAGCCTAATACAGTTTCAGCGAGCTGAGATCGAATAGCCAAGTATTCGGCTCGGCTCGGCTCGAATCCACCCCTACCAATTAGGTGGGATATATCACAAATCGATTGGAGGGTGTTTGTTTGGTGAAAAACCATTCTGATATCATGTTTTTTCTGGCAGCATAGAATTTTTTCTTTTTATTTAATTATTTATTTTTTCTCCATGGGGCTCCACAACAGGATAACCCATCACTCAAATCCATAACCCCTCAACCCTGGTGCAGGGATTCTATACATCTCCGTTACAAACTTACAACTAGCTGAAGACCTTACCAAATAGCTAGTTGGCACCTTACAACTGGCTAGTTTTTCTTTTTGATTCCATCCCTCTCCACCGTCACCTTCCCGAGTTTTGCATGATTTTGATTTTGTTTTTTTTTTTTTGAGTTTTGATTAATAGATTATTATTTTTAATAGACAATTGATATGATGCCGACATTTATGATACCTGAAAAAACTTTAACCTAAAAGGTCGACATGAATTTACCATACAGATTAAAGAATGGGACAGGTTTGAGCTCGAGAGAGTATGATACATGAATTTACCCTACTGCAGAGAGAGAGTATGCACTTACACACAGGTTTGATCCCACAAAGTTTGGAATCCATTTTATATATATATATATATATATATATATATATATATATATAGATATATATTTCACGATAATGTTGTAATACTCAGATGAGACACAAAACTGGTATGTTCACTGGCTTACAGTTTTACCAGTTAACTTGGTGACTACTAATTAGTCTGTTGTTACTGTGAAAACTGGGACCCAAAATGTCACAGGATCATCCAGGATCCAGCTAATCGTTCAACCATTCAGTCCAACAGTCTGATTTTTACAGCACTGGTCTATTTTGCTAGGCAATATTGGTTAAATGATTTTGTGAAGATAATCGCAGACTTCTCTCTAGTGAAACTAGGGGTGTTAATGGATCAGTTTTGGGTTGGATCCATTCACATCAAAACCAATTTGGATGGATTGGAGGGACCAATGAGATATTGAATTGGACTAGTCTAGACTTAATGGTCTAAAGTATTTATTGAATTGGATTGGACCTGGTCCATGCATAATGAATTTATAATGGATTAAGTTGGATTAAACCAATATCTGGATAAGAATATATGTGTCAACGGACCAGGTTTGGATTAGAACCAATCTAGATTAAAATCGATTTGCACAGACTGTATGGCCCAGACATTAAATTTGGCCGGTCCAAAATGGTCCAAAACATTCATCGGATTGGATTGAACTTGGTTCATCTGTAATGGATTCAGTTGGACCAGATTGGATTGGACCAAATCCAGTTCAATTGACACCCATAGGTGGAAGAAGATGATAACAGATTGAGGGTTATATAAAGGTTAGCTAGAAATCTAAAAAACAAGTAAACAGAAAAAAAAAAAAAGCTATGAAGGGTAATTGCATAAAAAAAAGATATAAATTGAATTTTGGTAGAAGAACTGATAAATAGAAAAAAAAAAAGCTATGAAGGATAATTGGACAAAAAAAGATATAAATTGAATTGATTAATTCAATTCGACAGCACAAATTTAAAAAAAAAAAGTTGGGATAAAGAATGTTTTTATGTTGAGATTGGTTCTTTCTCATTTTGGTGGCTTTGGAAGTTGTTGGAATTTTGAGTTTTGGTAGCCGATCAAAAGGGTAAAATTTCTGACACTAACAAGTAACAACTATCACATGTATATTCCAGTGGAAACGCTAATAAACAACGAATTCCTGCAACTTCTGAATTTCTTCTCCCTACAGACAAATGGGGCCCCATTAAAATTCGTCTTGTGTCCTTTCCAAGGTCCCACCATGTGCATGTGTCGAAGTTCCAAGAGTTGCATGTTCCCGTTGTTTACTACCTCACTGGAAGGAAGCAGCCAATTGGTACGTGACTGAAACGGACTGGACACTGAAGCTGCGTGCTATGGTAGAATAATCTGATTTGGGCGCAACCCAGCTGCTCAACCTGTCCAAATTAAAATGTGAAAAAACAAGAATCAAGTATCCAAAGTAAAATGTCTACAACCGCTTTCCTTTGAATTCCTTGTACTCGGTGCAATGCCAAAGGTTTATGAATTTTGTTTCATTTTATTGGATTTGCATATTTTTTTATGATTTTGCAACAGAATGATGCCCACCAGGTTATCCCACTCAGGGAGATCCTAATGCAATGCTTTACCAATTGGACGATTTTGGCCATTTGAATAGATTCTTTATTTAACTTCCCAGTTCCATCAACATACTGCAAAAAAAAGCCACTATGCACGTATACAATAAAGTAGGAAAACAATCAAGGTGCCAGATTTCTCCCTTTAGTTGCTCTTCAACTCAACTTTGTAAGAGAAAAGATTGGGCATATTGAAGCATTATTTCCAAACTCTCATTGTGACTTCTGAAGCAGGAGCTGCAGTTTAGATGCTTGAATCTGCAGAAGGAAAATAAATTAATCTCAGTAAATTAAATTAAATTAGACAATAATAGTCAGAACCATTCTACAGTTACCACAATGACCACTAGCAGAAGACTAATGTAGTAGAAAACTAGAAATTATGGTACAAAGATCACATTTAGGACCTCCTATTTGATTGGTAAAACTCAGGACTCTCAGATGGACCCAACCAGTGGTGGCTAATTCATTGGGCATACAACCATTAAGATTCTATTCACGGAGCATGGCTTGTCTTTTAAAGATCAGTTTCCCAAATGATTAAAAGAGCAGAGATGGAAAATACCTCCTAGAAGACATTAGTCTGTAGATCCAGGAGTTCAGGATCCATAACTTTAACTTCATTTTCAGCATCAGTTGCCTCAAAGAGGGGAGCGTCAAGTTTTGGAGGGTTCTGCATACAATAGTAGTATTCAAAGTCTCTGATGATTATACAAAAAATGAATAAAACCAAGAATAAAATGGTTTTCAACATCCATCAAGATTACCAAGTACAGTTAGCATATCTTGTAATTACTAGTTTAACCAGAATCATATGTAGATACCCAAATTTGATACTTGAAATATATATTTATTGATAGTTTGTTACTCTTTTATCTTATTCTACCCAAGTGTTGGGAGTTATGGTTGGTACAATGTCATGACATAGTTATCAAGGCATTTCCTAGTTGACAATTCGTGTTGAAGGTGGTGCTTGGCCTGAACACAATAAATTTGCAATTAGAAGTCACCCATTATGGTGACAATGTGCCTCCCAGGAGGGGAAAAAAACTGCAAAGGCTAGGAGACTTGTTATAATATTATTAATATGGGTGTATCTCATTAATATCTTATCAGTTTCCTTGTTTTCAATAGTGAACTTAACCAAATTATCTACCCTCCATTTGTCTATAAGCCACCCAATCTCCCTTTCTGTTTTTCTTAAACATTGCATGCATCCAAAAAGTATATATTCCTCTAGAAAAATGGCATCTATCCAATTTATAGTCTTGGAAATAGCCTAAATAATTTGATTTGTGAGGATCCACCACTATTCATCTGCACCATGCACATGGGACACACGGTGGCCAATGACTTCTCAGATGCAATTTTAATTTTGTCAAAATGTCTTTTTTCTGGTTAAAAGCACAAAAGTTTGTGTGTAGACTTGCAAATGCATCTATATAGTTCAACTTTACTTTTCCAATAAAGTTTATGATTCTGACCATGCAGCGAACCAGCGCCCAATTTACACTGCGAAAGAATGGATGTTGCTTAATCTCATTCGCTCCTTCATGTGAACCCAATCGATGTTTGGGAACTCTCTGCAGCAGTTGGTACATTAGTTGCTTTGCATTGAGACTTACCTGCTCAAAGATAAATTTTGTCAGAAGCAACGTTGTCATTATAATTTAAGTAATAAAATTTTGCTATACCCCATAAGCTATGCAATAAAAGCACTTCATATTATGAAAGAGGTTGTTTAAGTCTTTGTAAGAACTAAATAACCTTTTCATACTGCATCTACTGTCTATGTATTTTACATACAGTTTCAAAGCTTGTAAATTATAGTACGCTCAAATTAACGGAATCGAGGATTCAGTATGTCCTACATTCCATGCCCTCATTTGTCATTTGATAGTGATATTTTTATCAAAATTTCCTTTTTTCAAAAAAGAAAAAAAGTGTCAAATTTTCAGGACAAACAGATCGTGGTGACTGATTAATCCCAACCAATCCCTTAAAAGATTATTTTCTTTGTCAAAGCTTCCAGATTTAATCCTCACTAAAGCCATTCTATTGATGCCATCAATCTGAATACTATTTCATCCCTAAAACCCTTTGTTTTAGCTGGAATTTAAGCTTTAAAACCCCTTTTTTTTTGTTCAAATCCCCTGTTCTATTTTGTTCACAATGTTCTTATATAAATACAAATACAAATCAAGAAAATACACATTTCACATCAGCTTCATACATAGACATAATATAAGACGTGGAGCAATTGTATGGAGATTTTCAATATTAAACAATAAGTTCATGGGACTTACTGAAATATTTCTTGGAAACTTAAGATTCTTGTGAAGAATGTTTGCAAACGTTCTTTGCCTTGTCTTTCCTCTAAACGGTGTATATCCATAAAGCATCTCATAGAGAAGAATTCCTGAGAGTGGTTATTGAGCGAAGTCCACAAGTTAAGATAGTAAAAAATTAAGAGGCAGAACAATAAAAAAATCTGTTAAAGATGTTTTACATTAATGCAACTGAAGTATGCCATCTCTTTTTGGAATATTCTAGACATTGGAAGTAATGAACTGAATTACAGAACATGAAGCAACAAATAAACTTTCTGGATAGCATATCCAATATCATATCTCAGTCATTTTTATGCAAACAACGTATGTTGAACCATAAGATTAAATGCTAGCAAGAAAACCTTCTAAATGCATCGGAGAGAGATTAAACACCAAGTTTTTGGTCTTTTTGGTAAGAGGAAACATATTCTAACTGTTTTCATGAATGCAAGAAACAGCATAGTATCATCTGATTTAATTATTTCCATTTAACATTGCTGGTTTTAACTCATTGATATAGATGCAAAGCGTGAAGATGTGGAATGACTCTTTGTATGACAGAAAATGAAGCATGGAATAAAAAATGATGCCCTATGAGACATAATCCTGTTAATTTTTCTCTGAACCTTCACTTACTATGTGAAAACATGTGCAGATGCTTTGGTTTCAGTACTGTTAGAAAGTTTTTTTTTTTTTTAATTATCCATCCAACAAGACCAATGTTGCATGCTATGGCATTTTTTGTTCTAGGGGTAATGGTTGTTCTCAGAATTTTACTTAAAGAAATGGTTCAGATTGATTCTTAAGCATTAAGGTATGTTTTTTTCCCACTAAGTAGATGTCAAGAAACATTTTAAATAGGTTTTCTACTATGGGGAGTAATTTGGGAACACCCCATTTTTATAAAGGGGCAAACCCCTTTATAAAAGGCAGAAACACCACCACTGCTTTGACTTATTATTGCTGACAATGGTTTCTTGTCTTTTCACTAGGGATCTGCCCATTTCATTGAAAATGAGATGCCTCCAAAACACCACCACTGTTTTGACTTATTATTCCATCACAGTGTTGTCTACCAGCAATATTTTGAAATAACTATGTTCCAGAATGGTTGGTGAATTAAGTTAGGAATAAATACATAAATGATAATATCTGTTTGTTCATGGGTGACCCTTGGTATTTCTCATTGTTCCTAATTATATTATAGCTTCTTAACCAGAAGATTTAACATACAGAGAACTGTCAGGTCTTTTCTTTATGGGTTTATGATGCATCAATTAGCAACAGAACCAATCATCTTCTTTCACTTTTATCATTAGTCATGAAAGTTCTGTTTCTTAAGATATAAGAATTTGTCAACTCCTTCCCCTGGGTAGAAAACTTATGTTTTAAATGTTTGCAACAATTTTCCTGACAAGGACCTTATCTGAAATAGATTCTATGATCAGAGAGGGATACTTGAATTGTATTAGATGTGAATAATAAACTTTCCATAGTGAGGAAGTTTAAGTCATAACTTTGAAATACAGAAAGTACAAAAGCTAGATATTTTTCAATAAATTTTATCTAAGCAAGCACACAAGATTTAACTAAAATACAAGTAAAATGTGTCAAAACCTCCAAAGGAGATTGAAATAATACATCCTTTCACAAAACGAAGATCTATATCAGAAGGTTAAGAAGATTGAATAAATGCTGGTAAATGTATATATTTTCACAGACACTGATAATATCAATCTCTCTCGTAAAACTCCCTAATTCATTCCATGAATAGATCTCAATAAAAGAATTTCAAATTGAATGGTTTCAATATTGAGTTCAGAAAAATAAGTTACATATGTAAATCACCATGAGGATGTTTGGTTCCCTTGGTGTTTATTGAAAAAACGCCACCACACCAGCGCCACATAAGCATTGGCATTTATTGCAGATGAAGCAAAATGAAACAATTGTTTGGTTTCACCATTTATCAAATAAATGGTAGAAAACTGAAACGCTTTGATTTTTGTGCATGGGGCATTTGGGGAAACGTCAAATTCTTGTTTCCCCCAACACCCCAGCGTTTCTTGAAACCAAATGCTGATGTGGCACAATTTAATGGGTATTAATCTGAGGTGGAGAGTAAAAAACGTTTAAAGTGAAGTTCAACCAAACAACAAAAACAGGAAATGTTTAAAGTGAAAAAGTGCAAATAAACACCCTGTCCATAAACGCCCACGGAACCAAACACATACCATATCAAGGTCCATCATCTGGCCCTTATCTTTAAAGGTGCACTCCTTGTTGCTAAATAATAGAGTATTTAATAAACACATCTTGTGAACAGGTCCTGGTTTCTAAGTCTTACTAATCAGAGCATAACTCTTAGCTGTGGCTTATTGTTCAATAAGATACCAAGAGAAGGAAACTTAACATGGATGGATATTTATTCGATAAACAGGGAAATGGAATGGATATTTGGGATGAACATAGCTTGAATTAATGATCTGTTTACACAGTTATTGTTGGATACCACATTGTTATTCTAACATTGAAATTTATTACATTTTGCAACTTTTCATTTCCACAAAAAAAAAAAATCCTTTTGAGAAAGAAGATGCATCAAAGAGTATAGGTTTCTTTAGTGATGCATTGACTCTAAGGTAAGTAGGTAATAGTGTTCAAAAATCACTCAAATAATAAAGAATTACCAAGAGCCCACCAATCAACTGCACTTGTATGACCATCCCCAGTGATAATTTCCTGAAAAAGAAAAAAACAATTTAAATCTTGATAAATAGGGATTCCATAATGTGGGATTTAAATCTAATTTCTGATATATCATTTAACTTCATCCCATGACACATATCGCCATTCGGAGAGTTCAAGAAAGATCTGACTAAATTAAGGATGGATATGGGCGCAGCTAGCTCACTTTGTTCATGAAGCTAAAACCAAACCCTAATTTAAGCTTATTTGACCTGAGCCAAACTTTGGTGCGCTCGGCTTGTTTATATACTATATATAATTAATATATTTCATATTGTAAAATAAATTCATATTTGTTCTTTCCAATTAATATACATCAACTGTTAGTCTCAAATAGTGAGTTATGCATTTGGGATTGAGAGGAAATAATATAAAAAACTTCAGTTCAATGATCTGATCTCACCTAGCCTGAGATTAGCAAATTCTTTGCAATCCAAGCTTGGGCTAACCATCTTAGGCTTCGTATGGCCTGAGATGATCTGGGCAAGGTTTGTCTCACTTCAAGTTGTTTATTGACCTACACTAAGCTTTCATTTTGGTTGAAAATTAAGTTATTATCAGATGCAATGGTTCTACATTCAAGGGATATGACATAAAGAAGCAAGTCCGCTCTTTGTGGAAGTTATAGCTTCTTTTTTAATTCTTTCATTTTTGTTGGAATCAACTGGCTATACTGTGTGGCTAATGTAAAAATTTAGCCAATAGACAAATGCTACCAGTCTAACATGTTATCAACCAGTTAAGCTGCCTGGATGCCTCAAAAAAGTCACGAATGGATAAGGATAGACATAGACTTGCAGGACAATACTAACCAGGGGAACACTGGATGAACTCCAAATCAGTGTTTTCAGACTCAGACCGGTTTTTGTCACTGGGTCACGGGTTGAGTGGTTTGACCCCTAGAAGAGCTATGGGTAGACCAAAAAGGACATGAGTAGAAGTAGTAAGAAATGATTTAAGCACTAATAATTTAACAGTGGATATGGCTTTAAATAGAATGGATTGGCAAAACAGGATTCATGTAGCTCACCCCATGAGCCAACAGGCTTTATTATATTTTAAAGCATTTTATGTAAAATAAACTTGAAATAATAAACATTATAAGCTAGAAAATTTATTTGTACAGGCATTTAAGGTAGGTTTGACTAAGCCAACGTTTCTAAGAATGGATTGGAAAAACAGGATTCATGTAGCTGGCCCCATGTAGTTGCGACAAGGCATAGATGATGATGATGATGATTATGAATTGAAAATTCAAGAAAAAGAAAAATAAAAAAAAAGCAAATGGTTTAAAGATTATATTTTAAAGCATTTTATATTAAAATAAACTTGAAATAATAAACATTATAAGTTAGAAAATTTATTTGTACATGCAGTTAAGGTAGGTTTAACTAAGCCAACATTTCTAAGAACCAAGTGGCCTAAAAACCATTTTGGCTGCTGGTTTCCGGTTCTGACAGTCTGACCATCAGTCTGGTACATCTGAGTTTCTGACAAACTGCTCCAAATATGTAAAAGCAAACAAATAGTAGTTGTATTAGTAAATGTTTGTACTAATGTGTATTATCAATGAAACTAATGCTTGAATTTTTGGTGTATCATCCTCAATATCTTTATTTCTTCTTATTAGTTTATGCCTGTACTTTCTTTGACCAAGGTTAAAGTGAGGAAGAAGAACAGTTGAATTATGATCCTACTATTTTCTTTGGAAACCAAATTGCTGGTTGAGAGAACAACATACTGGCGCTATGTATTCCTCAGTTCCAACAAATGAATTTGATGCTCGCATTGGTTCAGCCATAAAGATTGGAAGCAGTTGATGTCCTTTCTGTTTCTTTTTCTTATCCTGGGTATCTGGAATCAAAAGCTACAGATGACATACTGGACCTATTAGTTTTGTGGCAAAATATGCAAAACAAACATATAAATAGTTGAAGTGTAAAAAATAGTCTTGAAATATAATCAGTTAATGGTTAAAACACCTGAGGTTTGCAAGATGTCAAACATGACAGATCAAAATCTGTCAAAGTTACATGCCCATTGCTCTGGAGTAGGATATTTTCGGGTTTCAAATCCCTGTAAATTATACCTGTAGAGAACAAAATAATTTCACCATCTGATTATCTTCAAGAAGCCTGTCAATAAGGTGGGCATTAAGTGAGGAGAGAGAGATGCAAAACTTCATTATGCTTCACTTTTTCTCTAATTTCACTCTTTCGGTTTAACAAAAGTGTATATTTCATTAAATCAATACATGGTTATGGATGATCCTTGCAGTGGTTGGTGAAAATTTTTTTATCATTAACCTTGAATATTAATGTGAAAATTGATGAACATCATGTTGAAGGAAAAAAAATAATGAGAAGTATTGTACTCAATTACAAGGAACTTTTGAACATGTCAATAAATGGAGAATAAGGAAACATATGTGCAATGGTATAAGAAATCTTGTTAAATAAATGGATCATAATCTAGTTGGATGATTAAATATTAATCCAAATTAAAATAAATGGAGGTTTGCATAACAATTTGCTAATATGATAGTTATACTTGAATAATTTCTTCCTGATGGAATAAGGTGAAAACAATATATTCTTTACCTTGACAGTGAAGGTACTCCAGCGCAACTACCACTTCTGCAGCATAGAATCTGCAGTCACCAACAATTTTGTCACTTTCGTTCATTGAATCAACCATGAAAATTTTGGCAAGAAATCATCTTCAAAGAAACCTTTACCTTAAACTGGAAGACTTTTTTCTTTTTTTTTTTATGTCAAGTTCATTACATTGGCTTGCAATTCTTATCTCACAATAAAATAAAGATTTTAATATGTCGATAAGGAAGATTAAAACATCCATTATCTCTCAATTGATAAAATTTCTCAGGAAGTTAGGATTATTGAACAAAAAAGCATTACCAAGCACATGAACAAGAAGTAAACAATTAAAAGAACAGATTTGTGTCAACTCCAAGCCTCTATATATCAGCACAGTGAGAACATTACAACAATGAATCCTATTCTATGATAGTGACCAGAAAACCATGTGGGTCATAGTGTCCTTAATGTTTTGGTTCAGACACTCAAGTGCAGTATCTCTATATAGCAAACTGAAAATTTCACAAAATATTTTCACTTCAGGCCGATCAATAAAAAAAAAAAAAAAAAAAAAAAAATCAGTTGACAAGGCTTTCAGTATGGGTAGGACAAATTTATTCAAAGATAGAGGCTATAAGGACAACAAAGGTAATCCTTTCCAAGAGTTTTTTTTTCTTGTTTTTCTTAGTTTTCTGTTTGTCTTTTCTGGTTTTCATTCTCTTTTCCCTAAAGAAAAATTTCTTGAAGATGCTTTATGTGATTCACAAGTAATTATTAAATGTGCAATCCCTTTATAAGATAGGGACAACACAGAGAATAAAATTGACTGAATATTTAAACAATGATATGTTGCCATCATGCACCAATCAAATTTATCAGCACATGCTAAATATCACTTTAAAACTGATAATAATGATAACCAATACCTCATTGCGTCTTCCTTGAGCACCTTCATTGGTTGCCTGTCCAAAAGCAAAAATAGCTCTCCACCAGGGAAGTAATCAGTTACCAGACAAATATGAGTTTTTGTCTGCAAAATATGTTAAGCATAAGATTCCATCTAATCCACATGAAGGTAAGTAAACATATATAAACATCTATGGATCCATAAACGTTTTCTGCCTAATCTGGAATTGGGGGGACATGCAACAGGTGAAAGAACAATATGTAAAAGATAATCATCACCATCATATCCTTATCCCAACTATATGGGGTCGGTTTCATGAATTCTGTTTCGCCGTTACACTATGTAAAAGATGATAGATGCAATTCCACATTTATAGTTTCTTCACATTTTTCTTCTGAAACCTGTAAGCACTAAATCTCATCTTAAAACTGTGGTGAAAACCAACTTGGAAATCCAGGTTATTATGGCATTTAGGTATGAGATATCCATTTATCAAAAAAAAGGTTGAAATACAACCATGTAAGTTAAGCACATCAAACAGTTAAAATCTGTAACTTATGCAACTCATAACAGTTCAAGTGCAGTTATAATGTGTATCTCTTCAAGTGACAAACCTGAAAAGAGGCATACAATGCAGGAAGAAAAGGGTGGTCCAACATGTCAAGAATTTCTCTTTCTGCACAAGCTCTATGCACCTGTAACAAAGGACAGAAAGATCCCACCAATAAGAACAAAGATCCCACCTCCCAAGGGAACTCACTTTCTGCTATGCAGTGAGAATGGTATATAAAACTGTACAAAGAAATTTATTTACCACTATTTCCTAGGTTTGTTATAGATAAAAAAGGATAAATACCATACTCCCTAAAGGTGTTATTCAAGCAGGCTAAGGTATACAAGGAACTAAAAGCATGGATGGAAAATCTTCATCGCCGTTTCAATAATCTATTTACACTGGTCTTATATAACCTTGTCAGTGCCATGGGACCTAACTCAGCCATAGAGAAAAAATATCTATCATTATTTCTTTATAATATGAATTAATTTTAAAAAATGACTAAATTCGCCCTAAAAAATACAGTCAACAGCACAAACAATAGCCTTACTAATACCCTAGAGATAGCTGTTGGAGATCTTGAAAGGGTTAACATATGCATATGATATCTCTGATGCAACACTTGAACAAAAAAAACTGTTAAATCTGCCCATCTTATCTTCTCTATGGATATGCAACAATCACAATCTAATAGGTAAAAGACTGAAGGTCTGCCCTTGTACTAAAAGAAAGAGTAAATAGTGATTGACACTAAACTACTTAAAATATTTTCTTACTTCTAATGCCAGGTCACTTCATAGAATGTGCCAAAAATTTCACTTGACATCCATTGTTGATAACTCATACACCTAATGAATAAGAAAAAAAGGGCAGCCCAGTGCATGAGGCTCCCACCAATGCGGGGTCTGGGGAAGAAATTTTCAGAGTTAGATATGTTTTCTTTTGTTTTGATCTTTCTTTCTGTCCATTTCTAGAGATTCTACAGAATATTCTCATTTGGAGCATAATAAAAAAGAGTCTTTTTTTTTTCTTGTGTAGCATATGGTTGATATTTCTACAGTAACAACCAGGTCATTGTGATTAGATGTAAATAGTTATAACTTTTCATATTGTCTAGTGTATGATGAAATGCAAAGAATATAGATGCAGAACTTGGATCTAAATACCTTGTTGCGGTTGAGCATAAGAGCCTTGTCCATAGCCTTCATTGCAAAATATTCTCCAGTTCCACACAATTCCACTAAATGTACACTGGCATAAATTTGACAATAGCAGTTAGACTTTCTGGATTGCAGTGAAAATTCATAGTTTCAGAGAGTATACTGAAATTTACGAAACTACATTATATCAATTGCCAAAAACTCGGGTGAAATTCATCAAGAATTCAAAATGCTGCATGTCCATTGTTCAATGGATAATTCAATACCTGAAAAATCCTTCAAGAAAAAATTCATATGCAATGCATCTGCCAGCCATTGTTCATCATGCAGTTTATGTTACATAGGAACTAACAACAATTACTAGCAACATGATGCAGGATAGACGACCAACAGGTTCTTCTATCATCTACACAGTATGGCTGAAAAGCATTGAAGTTTCAACAACAACCTTATCCAAGAATGTGAAACTTTGATGCAACACAAAGGTTAGTTGGAAGGTTAAATTTCAACAACAATAACCCAATATTTTCAAATGATTAAATGCTTCAGATTTACCAAAAGCAACACAGAAACACTATTAATCTTTATGATAAACCAGTGAGATGTTTAGTGAGTGAATTTGAATAAGGTGACTGGTATGTAAGTTGTATGGTTCCAAAATATTATCAATAGTAATGGCCTACTAGGCTACTAGCACATAATTGAGGAAAATAGAAACACAAACCTGCCAGTGTCACCAGATCCCAGGGGTTTTACTGGCCTGAAATGTTTTAATCCTATCTGTTCTCCACTCTCTAAAATCTGGAAATCATAATATATTGGGAGGTTAATGAGACATCAAGAAAAAAGTTTCTTTTTGTTCAATAAAGTATCAAAAAAACCAAAATTTCCACAAATCAATCAGGAGAGTAACTTGGGGTAAATGCCATATCAGAGATATTGATCATACTGCTGTTATGACCTACTACTCTATGCATGGCAGCATTAATAAAAGACCATAGAGTTCATTACCCAATGTTGGTCCCAACTATCTGGGGTCTTTGGGGGGTAGAGTGGGTATGGTCCTAACCTTTGGCATTTTTTGCACAAAGTGGCCACCCTCAGATTCAAACAAGTGTTCTTAGGCTTGCTAGCCTGAGATTTTACCATTAAACCAAGTAATGGCCCCTGCATGACAGCATTAATTGCATTCTTGAAAATATAAAGCAGTTTTTTTTTTGACAAAGGAAGAATGCTTAGTTGATATCCATTTAATTGTAGATAAACAGACAAATCATAGAACAAATTTATTCAAGATGCATCAATAGAAAAAATCAAATAAGCACACAGTAGATACCACTGGTAGTATATACACTATATTTCCAGCAGTAATCCCTCAAAATTTGAAGTAGTCCATTATACACACTCAGACATGAATAGAGAGGAGATATATACCTTTTGAATAGCTCTCCATGATGAGCTGTCCCTTCTATGAGGCTTTGGGAAAACTTTCTTAGAATGATTCACCCATAGATCATCAGGTTTCTGCAGGGCATCAGTAAATTTCACTACTGCTATATCTTGATGTCTTAAATAAAGTTGTGGATAAAAGTGTTGCTTACCAAATTAGCATCTGGAAGTTCTCTCACTGCTTCATCAACATTTTCTGCTGTTTCCTTCACCTGAATATGGATTCCAATTGTTACTACAATCAGTTGCAATGAATACTATATGAGCCAATGGAAGCTTGACATTCATAAAAACTACCCAAAGAAGCAAAGCAACTTAATGAACAAAGCATGCAAAGAGAGTTACCAACTTAGCACCCTTTTCAGCAGTATTTTCTGGAATACAGTTCTGAAGTGGCTCAACATGCTCACTGCCATCAAGTTGCACACCAATAAAATACTGTACTTCTCCCTGTTGACAAAACTACTAAGAATTACACATCGTATCTAAGAGAAATCCTAACAATAAGGAAGCATCAGAGGCCAAAAAAGGAGTTTTACCTTCTGATCACGCATGGGCTGTAGATGGAACAGATTCCAGAATTTTTTGCCTGCATGAACTCAAACAGCTCAAGTCACTTATAAAAGAAAATGCATTTTAAAACAAGAAGCATATTGCATGTTTTATTACAAAAGATACGATTGCTGTTATCAATATGTTGTGAACAGAGAGTTAAACTCGAAATTGAAATATTACTTAATGGTTAATTTATATTTTTAAGAGGTAGTGATGCATACTAGATCTTCCATTTTCTACATAATGAACAATTGATTTGCTTCGACCTCTTCTTGCTCTTGTTTCCAGTTTAATTAGCTTCAAGTTTTACTGAACTAATTATGTTACAAGGTAAATAAATTTTCAAATGTATTCATATAGACGGAATAACTAGATACATGAACCCTTAAGTTAATTTCATTTAATAAATTAGCAAAATTTATAAACAGGATTTACTATTGACTCTTATGAGTTATGAGCAATTGCTCTCTAATAAGGTAACGCAATAATGAGACAACTTAGACCATTTTTGCAATGAGATAGAACTTTATGATGCTTTGGTCTTGCTCTGGTAATAATCAAGAGTGATATTATTTTGTTGGTTAAAAAAACACACAATGTGAAAACTAAAGCTGGCCATCCATATGGATCTCAGGCAAAGGGAAGAAAGACTGTGCTCAGTAGAAATTTATGTGTACCACTTTTTGTGTAGTTTATGAGCTGCACAGTAACATCTGTTTGGTTATCAATCGCTTCTCTTATTTTTCTGACCGTTGCCGGATCAGTCTCAGGACCTTGGAGAAACCTGCATGATTCCAGAGAGAACATTTGGAAGCGAAAACAAGGAGTTCCAAGTATGCATAAGAACAAATAAACTTAGAGGAAATAAATAAAGAAAAGAGACTTTACCAATCTAGTTAGATGGTTCAAGAAGTTTTAAGGTGAAATCTTCTAGAGCTCTATAGTCCAAGAAACGCTAATCTTGAACCGGCTGTACAGTGAATGGGGACTGGTTCTTGCAAGTTGCAACTACCTTGTTTTCCTTTTCCAGCCCAACGCCATATTTCAAAGAGCAACCAACAAAGGGCCCAGTGACTGAACAGGAGAGGGTACGAGTCTCACGTGTACCAAATTAGACACTACTGTACTACACCATGTGGTGGCTCAGTTGGTAGGATCTTGACTCCTTGTAACAGTTAGCACTCAACTTAGCATAGACCTGGGATCAAATCCCACTCCCAAGATTTGGGTTAAGGGGGGATGGGCTTCATTAGTATACACTACTACTCCTACTGTATACTGCATTTTCAAGTTTTCTAACCTAACAGTTATAGCGTAGTTTTAAGGCCTGTTGGTTTTTTTTGGATTTTGAGAAGTAGAAATAATTTAGTTAATGAAATTTTGGTTTTTAACCAAGGTATCTATATATTTTTTTTAGAAAACTTATTCTTATGTGGATAATTAATTTTCTCCATAGTTTTCAAAATCAGACAGGACAGGATGATGGTTAGACCAGAAAAATCAGGAACCGGTTACTTGATTGGTTCCATTTTACCCCAGAAGGCCAGAACCATCTTTTTGGCCAAAAATTATTGATTTGATCAGCAAACCACTGACTTGGACGGTCGAATCGTTCAAACCATTTGAACCGTTCAACGGTTTTTGGCTGTTTTTAAATTTTAAAATTTTAAAATTTCTTTTATCAGAATGGGCTGTCTATTTGGTTCGAACGATCGGACAATTCAACTTAGGAACCGGACCACCCTGAACGGTTCATTGTCTGGTTCTGTTTTAAAAATCTTAATTTTTCCACTTAAGGGGAAATTGCTAACACTTGGATAAGATAAAATTGCCCATATTAATAATAAATTCTATAACTAAAAATGATTATTGTTTTATTTACCTAAAAATAAAATAACACGAATAAATGCATTTACCTAAATAATTATTTCCTGTAAATATTTATGCATTTACCCGAATAAATAACTTTTAAAAAAACGAACACGTCCTAGTTTCCGAGGTCATAGAACGCGGATATGTTTACTCAGGCAGGGTACCAAACAGGAGTAAAATTACAATGATATCCTCTACTTCCTGGGATTCGCAATGCCAATGCGCCTCCCGAGTCCCGCGACATCTTCTTTCAAATTCTATTGTTGAACACATGAACTTGAACTCATTAAAAAGAAAATGTAGACATTGAAGGCCAGAGTTACCTGCAATTTTTTCCCAAGATCTCTTCACGGCTATATTCGGTGAGTTCCAAGAAGCTGTCCGATGCAAATATCTGCGAATTTGAACAGTCAGAATTGGGAAAACAGGATTGATAGGAATTAGAAATTCACTTACCAGAAAATGAGTTACGTTCAGTACTTCGACTACGTACAGTACAATTTTACAAGTTTAAGGAAAAGGGATTGAAATCTTACGATGGGGTTATCAGGCAATCTCGGATCAGTGATGACGAAGTTCTTCTCAATGCGTTCCAGCGTAGTAGCTAGATCAATACCCTTTCTCATTTCCTTCTTTCTTGCTTTGTCATCAACATCAAGGCTGTCTGGCCTCTGATCATCATCATCGCTTTCGCTGTCCTCCACTGCAACTTCTGTCTCCTGATCTTCTTCCACATTTGTTTGACTCTTACGTAGGAACCTGGATGTACAAGAAAGAAAGCAGGTCTTGACTGAGCTCTATATAGTAATAACAGCAAGAACAGAAGAAGAAACTTGGAAAAGGACTCCTAATAAACGTGAGTAGAGAAAAATATATAACTACACCATGAGTAGAGACAAATTTATAACTACACCATTAGTTTTCCATTGTCAAGAAGACCAATGCATCTCATTAACACTGACAATATGTAAATTCTTATACCCCATGAAAGAACGTCGTCGGCCGGTTTTTGTCGGTTGCTTTTCAGGTAACTCGCTAATTCGTTCCATCGAGCTTCTCAGTTTGCTATTGGAATTCCGTCTAAGAGGAGCCATATTTTCAGAGTATCTCCTTTGTGGCCCTGCTGGTAGCTTTGGCCGTTCTACACCACCTTCTGATTTCCTCATTAATGGGCGATTTGTTGATTCTGAGAGCGCAAGTGGTTCCTTTACTGCTAGTACAAGCTCAGATACTGAACCGGCGGCCATCTCCTTTTGTCTTGCTGCAAAAATAATTTTTAGTGTAGTTCAACTTACAGTGATTGATCATCACACGCACTGACGCACACATAACACACACCGTCCGTCGAGAGTTGCATGGGAAAAGAAAACGTGGGCCGGGGGTTTTCTTCATTCTTTTAAATTGAAAATACAATACTTGGGACTTGGAAGAGTAATTATACAGTTGTAGTCATAAATACCCATTCATGGCTGTAGAGTCCACATCCTCTATACCCTTGGTATAGAAAATTTCCTCTACAATCTGCCACACCAACCTGTGCTTGAGTGCTCCCAAGGGTAAAGAGAGAGGTGATTTTATCCATATTTACCAATGGACCTTGCCTCATGTTATGCATTATGGTGCAATGAAAGGAACTGACAAAATTGTAGATTTCATACACGTGCACACAGCTTGTAACTTGAAGATGCAGTAACAGTTATGGCCTATATTTATTTAATTTTGTCTGAATATTATATAGTATAATACAAGGGAATCATGGGTGGGGACAGATGAAGCCCATTAGCCATATTATTATAGAGAGCCTGTAACGTGGGTTTGATCCCGCCCTTCTTATTTGGGAGGGAAGCCAATTGACCATCTCAGGTCTCAATTAATACAACCCACACTAAGATGTCTTGATGGGCTTTGAGTTAGAAAGGCAATCATTTTTTATCATTAGAGTATTAAGAATACGTTGATTTTAATTTTAAGCTAAAATTATTAAAGTATTAATGGCTTAAGTGGGTTGGATCAAGACAAATTTGAGTTGAATCCAACCTATAGATCATTAATAGGTTAGCATCCAAATCCAATTTGTCCAATTGCTGGTATCATGTTTGGTTGGTCAAATCTTTGTTGGTATCATGTCATTTCTACATCATATATTTTTCAGCTTTTATTTTTTTGGGTAAATTACATGTAGGTTGTATTGAGGTGAGCAAATGGATAGGTTGTAAATTCTAAGCAGAATTGAATGGAATCAAACTCAAACTGATCTTATTTAATCTATTATCGGGTAGGGTCTAGTTCCAAATTCTTTAAACCAATTCTTCACTCAGGCCAGTTCTAGGGAGCAAATGGATAGGTTCAATTCTAAGTTCTAACTAGAATTGAATGGAATCAACCTCGAACTGATCCTATTATTACTGGGTAGGGTCCAGTTCCAAATTCTTCAAACCAATTTCCCACTTAGGCCAGTTCTAGAGTTTAGGGTATTATCACCCAAACCAACTTGAAGAAACAATCCTGATTGGCCTTATGGAGCTGGCCTTGGAATTGAATTTGCCTTAAAATAAATCCAAAAATACTTTTGAAGATGTGAATATTTAAATTCAAGCACTCAAGTTTACAAAGACTGTTGCCTTACTTGACCATTAAGCTGCTTAAGTAAATGGATATTTTTTCTCAAATTAATATTTAAATGTGTATAATAAGTAATGTAAAAGATAATATTTAGAAAATATAAATTTTAATGATAATTGAACCATTTGTTGTTATTGTTGTTGTAGTTTAAGCATTTTATCATTGTGATTTCTAATCAATAATATATATTGATAGTAACATTATCAATAATGCAATTTGTGATTATGGTTCTGTTTGGAAAAAGTGAAAATATAAATATGTACAATGCAAAGCCTCTTGTATTTTGTATTTCTAAACTTGTATTTTTACTATACATATTTGTATTTGTATTCTTTCCAAATTGAGCTTATGTAATTATGCCACATTTATAATTCTTAATGTTAAAAAACATAAATTAGCATACACTACTATATTAAACTCAACAACATTTATAACTATCTAATTTGATTTTTAGGCTTAGTTTGAAAGGAGTAAAAATTAGGGGTGTAAGTCGGGCGGGTTAGATTGGGTTTATGGTCAACCCAAGCCCAACCCTAAAATTTGGGCTTAAGGCCCAAACCCGAGGTCAAGCCCGATTTTTCCAACCCGAGCTCAACCCGCCCTGTAATTTGATACACTCGGGTTGGGCTTGGGCCCGGGCCGGGCTCGGGTTAGGTAATGAACCCACTCTTAAATTATACATATATAAATATATTTATGTAAATATATATACACATATATATGTATAAATGTATATAATTGGACCGGGCTACCTAAGGGCTAGGCCCGAGCCCAGCCCAAAAAATAAAAAAAAATTCTTGGGCCCGAGCCCAGCCTAAACATTGAAAATCCAAGCCCAGTCTGTGTAAAATTTCGGATTGGACCAATTTGAGCTCTGGACCCACCCAAGTTGCATCCCTAATAAATATACAAATATATAGAATACAAAACCTTACATTTTGTATATATTTGTATTGTATGAGGAGAATACAGGTGTGAGGAACACTCTATGAGAAATAGATCTCAATTCTATAAGTATAAAGATATCGTACCGATTTTGTGAATACAAAATCCGATCTCCCACTCTCCGATGAAGAAGAGGATACCTGGAGCTATGGTAATTGAAACTTGATAATATACCACGTCAATCTGATTAAATGGACTTCACATGACAGAGTTAATAATGGGTGTGGCATACTGTAGACGCTAATTCAGATAGGGTTCGTGTCTATTGAAAGACTAAACATATATAATCCACCCGACCCAATTTATATGGCCCAATGTTGTATTGACGATGGAGACGGGATGGGCTCCCTACAGAGAATGCCCCACACTCCATTCCTCCCGTGAAGACGGGATGAGTTCCCTACAGAGCATGCCCCACACCCTATTACTCCTGTGAATTGGGAACATCTCCTACGATAAGGACAGAAGATGTTTCCAATGCACGAGGCGGATGGACTGTGGGGAGCCATCCATCCGAAGTCTACACCACGCAACGAGGGTGCGGTGATAACACCTAGAGCAGTGGCCCCTCACCAAGATTTAAGATCTCCTAACAACGAGCGATACCCACATGCCCACACGTACTCATAGGACACTACAGGCTACAGCCACACATCTCCCTTTCTTGTATGCTGTCATTCATGAAGGAGAAATTCCAGATATACGGCGTGAACGTGATGTTTACATCCTAATTCCTACGTCATAACCCCATGTCTTTTAATTATTGAATCATTAGAGGAAAGGTAGTTGAGTAAGGGCACCAACAAATTAATGATCAGTATGCGCGATGTAAAGGTCTGTTGCTAACAAGGCTGTGTATAATTTGGCTATGAATCCAAACCAATTATGAATGATACACAATTAAACAAACCCGATCATACACATTTGCGATTGATGTGATTGGATGGTAGTCGTTTTTTTCAATGAATTGATACGTACCCTATCATACACAGCCTTGAGCAGCAGATTTGGATTCCGCACTTGTGTCGGAGATGTTGTCTCCAACATGAACATGAGATGGTTGGGAGAGAGGAGAATAAGATGTGGATACACATACCATCATATCGAATCAGTGATTCTGGCAATCCATTTGGTCGGAGCATCTTATCCTTAAGCCCCTCTGTGTGCTTGCTAACCTCCACTTGCATTCTGTAACACGCCACATAGAATCATACAACAACAAAAGAGAGAATAAGAAAAAGAAGAGCAAAGAGAACGAGATAGAGAAACCTAACCCCTCTGCACCAATGTCCATTACCCTCTATCATTTTCTTTCCTGTCCCTAGATTTTAGGTCACTGTCTTATTCACAATTTCAATTTGTTCGGTTTTAGGGACTCATGTCACTTCTCAAATTCTTTTATCACATGGCCTCACATTAACTAACCATCATTCATGGGTATGGCCCTTTGTGGTCAAATTAGTGGCTGCATGGCAGATTGGAGCCCATAGACTGAAAAGGCCTAAAACTCCACCCATCCATCCTGTTAGACTTGATCCATCCAATAAATTCTATCAATAAAAATTTTGTAAGACCATGCTTGTGAACTTCTGAATGATGTGCGCATCTCCAATTCGACCCACCTCAATCCGAATCTGGTGCTATTTTTGTTGGATCCGAATAATCCTGTGATAATCACAATTTGGATCACACATCCGATCCGATTCAATATATATACTTATAAAAAGATGTATATATTAACATTTATCAATATATTTATTTATAAATATGTTTTTATTGTATTGCATTTTTTGTAATTTTTTTATAAAAAAAACATGTATATATTAATATATATGATGAAAATAATTGAAAAAAAATATTTGAAATTTTTGTTTTTCTTTATATAAACTTTTATGTTTTTTTAATAACTTATTAAATTTTCATAATTTAAATCGGATCGAAACAAATTCAATTCAAATCACTATTTGTGAGATCCAATCACATCTTCAAGTCGGGTCAGATTCGGATTTATCCTGATTTGAATCCGACCTGACCGTTTGCATCCCTACCCACATGCTTATCAAATATCAACGGTTCTGATCTGTCAGAGATTATGCATTTGATTACGTTAGACCATGGGTAACTAACTCCAATGACCCAATTATTATTCTATTCAAATGGGGAGCTTTTTATGCAACTTATTTTGGCTACATGAAGGAAGGAATCATGTGCCTAAGCCAACATGTCCATTAGGTGGGAGATCCACTGGGTCCACCCATCCAAAATAAAGAGAAGAAATTTTGAATAATGGGGGCCAGGTTGCCCACATGACGCATCCCACACGTGCCGCAATATACATCTTGGGGTGCATTGGAAACATCTCATTTAATTCGTCATGGGGAGATATTCCCAATGCACGACTGGGATATGTGGTAGGCATAATGGACTGGATTGCATTTGAATGAAAGTATATCTGAATTTGATTTGTTATTATGAATAATAGATTAGATCGAATCTTACAAACATTGATTTGAATTGGAATCTAATAACGAAATTGGATATTCAGATCTGATCCAATTTGATTTAATTTTTTAAAAGAATTAATAAATTATTTAAAAAAATTTAAATATATCAATTTAAATAAAAACAAAAAATACAATTATCGTTACCCCATTCACACTCATGATAAGATATCATTTATAGAATTCAGATCTGTGCCCCACAAGGGGGTGCCCCACAAGGGAGTGCCCCACGGTGTTCCACGGCACATTGTATTGGGAACATCTTTCAATGATGACATCATCAAAACTGATACTATCATCAGGAGATGCGGAGATGTATTGTGGGACATTGTGGGGCACAAATGTGAACTCTCGTTTATGCCCAGACCGTTTCTAACAGCCAGCGTTTATTCATTGAATGGGATGTGTCCCGACAAGCAAATTCATTTCCATCAAAGCGAAATGTCATGAATTGCTACCATTGGAGCTAACACAATAATGCCTGAGAGAACACAAGACAAAACAGAAGGAACCTTAAAGACCAAATTGGCCTAGTTATGTTGTCCTTTTACAAGTGTATTGACAGAAATACCCATGAGTGGGCAGCCACTCTCGGATAAGCATTCATAGGTCATAGAAGGGGTCAGATCTAGAACAAATCCAGATCCAATAATGGATCGGGAAAAAGGGTTCAGATGCAGGTTTGAATCATCATTTGATCTCGTATGGTGGATTCACACCCGATCCGTTTATGCATTTGCTTCGAGTCTTGGAAGAAATGCATATACAGTGTCTCGATAATTTTAGTTTTGTGCTTTGGATTGTGAGGCTCAAAACCCGCTAAATAGAGGTGTGGAACAAGGTCGGGTCATGGATTGATCCGCTCCATTTCATGCCATATTTGTCAATAGTGAATACATACATGATCGGTGGTAAGGAAAAGGTACTGAATGCTAAAAGACAGGACGATATATTTGATTGATGGAATTAGGAGAAGGAGGTCTGAAGGTGGCTGCTGAGATCTTGATCAGCAGGAGGCAATGGAGGCCAGTTCCCGTCACTTCATTAAATAATTGAAGATGGAAATCATGGGTTGGTTCTGGTTCACTTATCCAGTGAGTTAAGAAGGTTAAAACTCAAAAGAGTCGATCAGAATTTAAACTCACCCGATGAATTTCAGAATCTTCCCGGTTTCATCTTTGATGGGAGCAATGGTGAGGAGGTTCCAGAAGGGGGTTCCATCCTTCTTGTAATTCAGTAACCGTCCACAGTAATTCGTCCCCTCCTTCAATGCTTCTCTGATCTTCGATATTTCTTCAGGATCAGTATCCGCTCCTTGAAGAAACCGGCTGCACTCCCACCCAATTCAGACAAAACCAAGCTTTTGATTAGTTGAAGTTTAATGAAAACGATCGACAGTGAACTGTGGACCAGTTTCACATTTCACAATAAATTAATAAACGCAGTTGAAAACAGTAAAAAAACGAGGGTTAATGAAAACAAAGTGAGAAAGTAGATGATGTGGTACCAGTTCCGGCCTATGACTTCTTTGGAGGTGTAACCGGTCATCTTGAAGAAACCAGCACTTGCATACATGATGGGATGACCGGGCTTGGTCGCGTCGGACACGACAAACGTTTGCTGAAAGGTGGACAGAGCATCTTTCAGGTCCTCGGATACTCTCGGGAGCCCTCTCTCTTTTCCCGCCCCGTCGTCGGATAGCTCGTCCGAGGTTCGCATCGAGGTGCCTGAGTCCCTCCGGTACGTCCCACTTCCCCTGTTATTCGCGTCGTCGCCTCCGGATGTCCTCACTGTGACCCCTTGCGGCTTCCCCGTCTCCGAGTTGGTTTTCAGTACTAGCCCCCACTCCGCCGCTCTCTGTGCGGCGGTATCTGCTTCGCCCGTTGGTTTTTCGACCCTTCTGTTGGTATCACCGTCTTGTTGGTTCTCCTCGAAGATTAAGGAGCTGGGCCGCTCTGCGTCTTTGAGTGGTGATGGGGTTGGTTCCTTGATGGCCATCCATGACGTGATGGGCTCGTCTGCAGGTCTACCGGAGAGGAGGGGATCGGGTTCCTCCGGAATGGAATTGTCTCGTGAATCATCCCAATTTTGCCACGTCGATTGTGGGCGGAAGACGGGATGGGTTGGCCTGGAAGCATGGCTGGATGGGTTGAAAACTTCGAGCGAGTCACGACGGTAGCCTCGGGAGAAGGTTGACAGGGGAGGTTGTTCAGCAGGTGGATCCATTTCCTTTCCGCAATCTGCATGAAAGTTTGTCTGAATGAAATAAAAGAAGACAAATCCTCAAAAGCGTGTGGGGGGTTGTAATACATCAATTACGAGGACATTTTGGGATGTGATTGAAATATCCACTTTAGTTTAATGATAATCAAACCCTCTAATTGGGGTTATTACTTATTTAGAACCAGATGAATGAATATATTAAGTGCTCGGAGGCAATAGTCGACTGTGGAGCACCGTACCATCATTTGAGCTGGCTGTACAGTAAGCAATAAATAGCAGATCCCGAACCCAAGTCAGAAATAAAAATGGATGGGAGGAATGTTGTCAGTAGAGTGATGGAATTACCATGGTTTTTTATCAAAGAAAAGACATGAGCTTCACTGTTTTAGCACTAATCACCATGGAGATTAAGACCATGCTAACACCATTTTATATTAATTAATTTAATTCATAATTAATTAATGTCTGGATACTCGACTGTGCAGAACTGCAGATTTTCTTTAGTTTTACTTGCATGTTTGACTTGAGTAGAACGAGAACAAAGAGTAACTAATTAGATTGAGTTGATAAGATTTCTACCTTCCTGCGAAAGAATTAATTATTAAATTGGGCAAAATTGAGAAAAAGAAACAGAAGAGTAGAACTGAAGAACTAGAGACAAAATCTATGTTCAGTTCCCATGAAAACAAATAGGAAGGTTTAGAGAGTTTGTTTATACTTGAAGCGGTTTAACGCTCGAGAACACTTGAAGAAGATCCATGTCCAGGGATCTGTCTGAGCTTGAGATTTAATGGTTTATCCCCAAAACAAGAAGAAAAAGGAAATGAATCCAGAAATTCTCTGAGATGAATGTACCAAAAGGCAACACCAGGAGGAAGAGATGTGGAGAAGAAAATTCATGTAGTATTATAACATTACAACTTTCAAGTCATACTGTGAAATTAGAAGATACCCAGGAATTCTCAAAATAAGCAATAGAGGATCCTGGTTTTTCAAGTATGTGTGAAGGAAAAAGAGAATGAGAGACAAGTACGTACGTACCTGAATTGAAGCGCTAGCTAGCTGTTGCGGCTGATGTATCTCTTTGCTCCGATGTTTGAAGAACAATCCGCCGAGACCATGTAAGCTCAAAATCTGAGACAAAGGACGAGAAGACGAAGAAGGAACGATTTTAAATTTTTAAGGCGAAAAAAATGAGCAATAGTCAGAGAATGGTTACAGAAAACGATGTTCTCCATCTCTGTCACACGGCTATGCACATGCTCGGAGGGCCATGAGAACGTGGAACAGAAACTAAATAGAAAATATCCTTCTGTTTCTTCTCTCCTCTCCACCTGATCTCTCTATCTTTTTAAATTTAACAAGAGAGAGATCTCTGAGGAATTTTACAGACTGGAAATCGGTGGCGTGGGAGCGAAGATGTGGTGAGTAGGAGTATCGTTGCGCTCGCGCACGTTTGAATGGCGGAGTCCCGATCAGTAAGTCACAGTACTTACTGACTCTCTCACCTGACAAAGGCTTCCAAATGTGTGCGTAGTGCGTGTTAGAAAGAATACTTGAGGGAGAAAGGATTAATTCCAAGTAAGACGACAAACAAAAGAAGCTCTTTGTTTGTTGTTAGCCTGACTCTCTCTTCTCCTACTGGTAGAATAGATAGAGTTATCTCTTCTCTTTGAGGCCGGGCAGAAAATAAAATATTAAAAAACTATAGAGGATATTTTGGTAAAGAGACAAATGGTTTTGTTTTTGAGGTGAATTTGGGCTTGGGAAGAGACTCTACTAAGGACCAACTAAGGGGGAGCTTGGATTTCCTACCCATACGTACCCACATGACACCACATCCACACATAAGGAATATCTCGTGTGATTTATGTTTTTATGCACGGAAAGATATTTCCAATTCACGGTTATAGTGTTTTGTGGGTATGTATGGGTGGAGTTCTTGTAGGTCAAAAGGGACCTTTTCGGCTATAACTACCAATTCATGAACTCTTTGATTTTCAAAACAAATCTCATAGTTTCTTGGTCTTTGTTGATTCGATCCTCTAATTTCACACTTCGTTGCACATTTAAAAAGAATAATGAATAAATGTAACCTCAATTTCTGAAAATTATCCTTTATTGGGAATTGGTTTGTCTTCTTCCTTCGAGTCACGCTCAAGAACACATTACACAATAGGGGAATCGTTTTTTAGGACCTATTCTGTATTGTGCTTGGTTCTTGAGAAAGTAGTGAAAAAGGAAAAGTTGTGGGATAAATATCTGGAAATGCCTTCTTCATAACTTTCACAATTGAATAAACCAAACATGAAACGCTTTGATCTCTGCGAGTTTGGATCTCCTCCTCATAGGGCACTCCTTATACCAACCTCAGACCATGTCCAAGCTGTATATCAGAAATACTACCATACTTTGTATTGTTGTTCATGGGAAAATGCTCCCAGTACACAGTGGGATGGAGCTGTGAGGAGCAAATCCGTATTCAATCTTTGTGACTGCGCGATAAAGACATAGTACATCTGGTGTAGACATGCATATGATACACAGAGAATAAAAGAACTGCTTGTTGGAATTTCTCTTTCATTAGAGTGCTAAGGATCCGTTTGATTAGTGGGAATTGGAATCGGAATTAGAATGGTCTATTCCTAAAATGTATTTAATTCAGATAGAAACAAGAATGAGAATTAGAATCAGTAGGAATGAGATTTCATTCCCAAAAGAGTAGCAAAAAATGATCATTTGGGGAAATGCCATTCCAGCAGGAATGGAAATGAGATTCTGATTCTACTCAATCAAACAGTTAAAAACGGAATATCCCATTCCGATTCTGATTCCAAACCTCTATTCCTGAGAATCAAACATAGCCTAAATAATTTGATGATTCAAGGCTACCCTACATTGTTAATGTTATAATTAAGTGGGTAATGCGTTAAAAAGATATTTATAATACTTGTTTTGATTTCTATCAAAGCCATAAAATTAAATCATTTAACTTATTTTTCCCATACATATGTGCTCTTACACTAACGTACATTAATCCAAACCCTCTATAAGGCAAGTCTGTTTTTCCCTTAAATGCCTAAAAGGATTTTTCATGAATTCCCTATTCATTAGGTATACTGATGTGTCTTCCTAATTGTGGTAATCTCAAGTAGAGTATCTTTGGCTGTATTTGGTTCTTCATAAAATAACAGTGAGAAAGGAAAAGTTGAAAGAAATTATTAAAAGAATTTTATAAAATTCATTTTCACAGTTTTAACTTTTTCCATCAACCAAATACAGTTATGGGATCAATGGAAAAGTTGTTATAAAATCATCAATGAATTTCATAAAATACCTTAAGGCCCCGTTTGTTTTTTGGTAAGTTATTTATCCGGGTAAATGCAATTACCTAGGTAAGTTTTTCTTATGAAACACTTATCCAGATAAGTGTATTTACTCATATTTTTTTATTTTTCAGGTAAATAAGGCAATGACCATTTTAGCCAAAGAAATCTATTATTAAAAGGGGCATCTTTGTCCCATTTATGTATTGACAACTTTTCCCTTATGTGGGAAAGTTATTTACCCACCTAGGAGATGGGTATCACTTTCCTGGATAAGTGGTACCCAGGAAAATAAACTTTCCCTAGTCCCCACTATAAATTGAAAAAAGAACATTGAATTCTTGGTCAATAAAAACCATAATCCCATTAACCAACTTTCCCCCCTCTCCAAATCCAAAAAAAAAGAACGCCACTAAAAGGTTTCCATGACCTTACCTTTATCATTAATTTTCTAATTTAAACCAAGCATGTATGGGATTTGGGATCCAAGTAGCAGCAACATGGGAGCTATTCCTTGGTGTATTGTCCTTTTCACGACACCCTCAGCATTTTCCTTGTAAATATGACAAACGGCGTATAATTAAAATGACATCTGTTGGTTTAATCACCCAAAAGAAGTATTTTCAATACCAGACCGGACCTGATGGTTGGATCAGATAAACTGAGAATCGGTTTCATTTTATCTCAAAACCGTTATTCTTTTTTTAATAAAAAACTGTTGATTTGGTCAGCAAATTACTGACCCTGACAGTCAAACCACTGAAATCATCAACCCAGACAACGGTTTTTGGCCTTTTGTTTAATTTTTTTGTCAGAGCGGATAGTCCATTCGGACCGGATAGTCAGACTATTTGACCCGGGAACCAAACCCCATAACAGTTCCCTGTCCTACCCGGTTTTAAAAGCATTGCCCAAAAGTGATGAATAGGAGAAAGTAATAATGTTTTGATTTAGATATTTTAATGTTCAATTTGATTCGAGCTCATTAATAATACATACACACATACATACATATCTATCTATCTATTTATGGGTTTATTCAATTCAAATTGATTGAAAATTTTTGACAAAACAAACCAAACCAAAAACTATATAAATCAAACCGAATCAACTTATTTGGTTCGGTGTCCGAATTTGAACACTCCTGATTCTACGAGATCTTATGGACCAAATAATAGGGTTAGACTAGTGCATTTTAAGCCCATGAATTCTGTGGCCTTAAAATGTACATAGTGTGATATGTGTATTGCTATTGTTTACTTAATGGAATATCCATTTCAGGAGTTTGCTTTGCTAAACAATGTAAAACAGGCCACATTGTTAAAACTGCATGAATGGATGAACCAACGCTCTTTTTCACCATAGCCTAAGTTGCGTTTGGTTTTTTTGGCAATATTACTGAAATTGAGAAAGATGTGGGTAAGTCCTTGAGGGGGTATGGCCTTAAGGACTTATGCACAATTTTCCGAATTTCAGTAATTTTATCATAAACCAAATGGAGTCCAAATGAAACCCATATCTATATTCACTCAATTAGTTGCATTTAATGATTTCCATGTTCTTTTTTTTTATTATAAAAAAAGTTAAAAGAAAATGGACATACCATCATAAAGCAGAAACAAATTATTTTCTTAGGTACTATAAAAAATAAATGAATTATTTAACCAGAAGTTATTGTTGATATTTTTTGTGTTATCCATTATATATTAATGGTATGTTGTTTGAATTATGCATCAAAATCAAGTAATCTGTTCACTCTCTCTCTCTCTCCTACGCCTAGGATCATTTACTTTGTCATGGATGTTGAAAATTAATAACTAGGGGCCAACTAGAGTAATTTTATAAGGTCATTGTGCCCCAAAGTAATAGCATCAATATGACCAGCAAAGTTATTTATATGGCCCACAATTATTTATTATATGGATGGTCAGGATTCTTTGATCAGTCAAAATTTTCATCTATCACTCTTGGAAGATATTCCACAGATAGGGAACTGTAAGGCTGTTATCTAATCTTCTAATTCAATCTCATTAAGGGTGATCAAAATTCAATCAGTTTATAATTGGATTGACTACAAATCCACCTCTATCTTATCTAATTCAATTCTCTCTCTTTCTCTCTCTTTCTCTATATAATATTTCTCCTAAATTATCATAGGTTTAAGTTTCATATAAATAATTTTCAATTCATTTTATTTATAAAATATGATATTAAAGTCCTTCAATTTTTTTTCTTCCATGGGACTACACAACAGGGACAATTCATCCCAAATCGAATTTTCTTCCATGCGATTGCAGTGTACTGTGGGTAAAGCGTAAATAAAGAAAGTGAATAAGAAATCTGAGTTCAATCCATCCTCCAAGCCCATAACCCCCAACCTGATGAATTTATCTATATCCCATCGGATTGGATCCATTTGCAGTCCAGGACATCCACCAAATTAACACATAAATGAGTCCGAATCTCCTGCTCACCTCTACCTACATAACATCACAGCCATACATGAAGAACATCTCATCTTCTGTATAATATTATGCAGAGAGATGTTCCCAATTTATGTGGTTAATGTATTGTGAGTAGACGTGAACAGAATTCTTGTGGGCAGGAGATTCGAACTCTTGATAACATGGCATATGAACCAGGCGTATCGGATAATTCTTCATAGGTAAGTGGTTACCACGTGTATAGACATAATTTCAGAGCAGATTAGCGGGTCGGTTCAAGTGATGGTAAGTGGTTACCACGTGTATAGACATAATTTTAGTTACTTGGCTCTATCTCAGAGCTGTTAATAATAAGTGTGTAAATAAAGAGCAGAGAAACAGGCCCCACGGCCATGTGACCTGCTTGTGCCGTTGGCAAAGGTTGGCAAACCCGTGTTGGCAAAGTACCTTCATTATCATATGGGCCCCCATTGAATTTTAAGCTTGGTGGGCCCAAAGGCCCACCTTCTCATATTACGATTGCAAACCATAGGCATATACGGTAGAAGACATTGTCTTAATAGGGAAAAGTAGCTAAAAGACAAAATTTGAAGAAGATGGTGATAGAGAAGCTACCATACGGATTAGAGAAGAAGAATTGTTTATGGTCCATTGGGCCCTCGTTAAACTATAGTCAAAATCCAAAGCACACTATCCTGAATCTTGATTCCTGAGAGATGAGAAGCGCTCTGATTGGTCTTGCAAGGATAATAGAGGCGATTCTGCCA